ATCTGGAAAAGCCAATATGGCTCCTAGTAATTTTAATAAGATATTTGACATCAAATTGGACTTCTCCAATTTAGCTTTACACTGTGTACAAAATGTCTCATCTAGTAGTGTAGTATTAAAATACCATTTAGAGGTGATACGACAACATGCTGTATAAACAAATCTACAGAACCTGGCGTGGTGAACTTATTTCAACATGGATAATGTCTTCATAGTGAGTAAACACCAAAAAGAGCTTGGGAGGCATACAGTAAATAAAGACATTTCTGAAGTATGATTTATGTCTATCTAAAAATAATTCTGTTCATTTCTCTCCCACCCATATCAGAAATGTAATTTCTTAGAATTGCAGATGTCTAAGACTGAACATGAATCATTTTTTGATCAATTAAACACATATTTCATAACAGAATTCATTTGTGCATCCAGAACAATATCAAAGTTCTTACATTCCTACATGGATTTAGAAAGGAGGTTAAAATGTCAGAATTTAATACTGAAGGGAAATGAACATAACTTAGTTTTTAAATACTGTATGTCAGACTCCTTAGGTTTTCACCCCCTTACTGCAAAAAATACATCAGTAATTCCTTTACAATACAATTAAAACCATTTTTTTGTACAGAAGACTAGACTGCCACACATCCATGCTTATTTTAAGATCACAAGGCCTCAACTATGATTTTTATGCTGATCAGTCCATATTCTAATTTCACCTCTGACATAAAAACATGGATGACTGAAAATTTCCTTAATCGAAATTATTATTATTATTGTTATTTTCAAATCTACCAATGCCTTATTTAAAATTAGATTCCCATATTATTGAAATTTAGCAGGCAATATACTATGGGACAGAAAAACCCCTTAAATAATTAACATGCAAGTTGTAGAAGAAAATCACATTGGAATAGATATTAATATTTGTGAGGGAAAAAGTATAAAAATAAAAAAGGAGGAAAAACAAAAGTTAAACAGGTCCCAGTCAATAAGATCTCAGTTTTAACACTAAACCTAATAAAAGGGATTCATTTTTTTTTATTTACTGAACACAGTAAAGAGAAAAGAAAAACAAAAAAATGTCTATTTAATCTGAGTTGATGGGATTATCCCTCAATACAGTATGTGGCAAACCTCTCTGTATCTTGTGCTAAAGTGAACTGTTTCTGTATACCTTGTGGAGACTCATAGTGACAATGATCTCTTCACTCTCGCAAAGGTGCATCTCTGTTGGACTGACTAGTACCAGTAAAGCACATAGCACAGATTCCTCCACTGAGTGAGTAGGGCCGGACTGCCTGCTTTCCGTCACGTTCGTAGACCCCTCCTCCTAAGGACGCTCCAGCCCTTCCTTGTTTTCCACTCATCGCCCGCACCTGCTCCCTGTTCTAACCCCCTTTCAGTTCTCCTTTAAAGCCAGGCGCTCACTTTATTCGGGGTTCTGCATTTGATCTCCCTATCGTGTGTGAGACTGGGACCTGGAACTGCCTGGTCCCGTTAAGGTTTTATTCTCTGTTCCTGTTCCTGTCTCCCACCGGTTCTGATCCGGTTCCCGTTTTTAAATCTTTTTGGTCTTGGATGGACCACCTGGTTTTGTACTTTTGCTTTCGTTTGTATTTCCCTTTGGATTTTCTCGCAGATTGTTTGCCACGGCCACACCTCCCCCGAACACCAGCGCACCAAGGACACGCCCCCTGTTTTCATCCCCGTATCCTGCATGATCTTTTCCACATGTTTCTTCACTTTTCCCTGGATCGTGTCGTCCGCATAGGGTCTGAAAGAACTGTTCGTTACACTTTCCTCCAAAAAAATGTGTCTGAAAACAGAAATGAACAGAAAACTAAAAGAATCTCGCAGCCTTCAGAAGAGTGACCGCCATTAATCCAGTGCACTCTCTCAATAAAAATACATCTCATTGTGCCAGAGCTGGGAACCATCCAAGGATAGCTTTATCCTTGAATCAATTCCTTATGTTTAGATCCTTCCAGTAAACTCTCAATGTGAATGTTATTTCATGTTAATCTATCTTCAAAATTAATAGCTGCATGTGTGCTAAGGAGCTTTTGTTCTGGTTCCTCTTCACCCAAGATGTAGTCCGATTTGGAAACAAGCAGCTGAACTGTTGTTATCTTCATCGGCCATTTCAAACATTTCTGGAGAGTGAAGCTCTTTTAGTTTCTTCTTGCTTGAAGAAGAAGTCACGTTTCTTTCCTACCTCCACCATCAGAGACCACCCACAAACAAAACCCACCACAAAAGCAGAAAATAAAAAAAAGGCAGCAGGAGCTTCCATTTGGGGCTACTTTAGCAAGATCCCAAGATTTCTGGGTCTGTTCTGGTTTGCCAGATTTCTGATGTGATTATAGCCCACATTCCCCTAAAAAGGAGCCCCAGACTATCCCAGTTAAAAAATGTGTTACTGTCAAAGCGCTCACCACATCACGAAAAATAAATATGACAAGCAAGGAGATTGACTTATAAAGACAAACCCCAACCTTAAAACGATCACGCATCATCAACCGCATTAATCAGGTAACTTTCAAGGCACAAATACCATACCATTACAGCTTGCTACAACTGTCACTGTCCCAATTGTTAACAATAAGGTCTATGGTCATAACAGGTTTCACACTAGTTTTTGAGTTAGACAAAATACAAATTAAAGCAGACATAATATTTGTAGTCAGATCAGTTTTGTTTTACATTTTAAGAATACAATTTATTTTATTACAAATTGTTAGATCATAAATGAAATATTACCTATGGAACAGCAGCCCTCCCATAAAATTAAAATTGTAGCAGTTGTTTGTAACCAAATATACTGTACAACATGAAATCCTGCAAATGTTTTACACCTCATTTGCTTGCCACCAGTTTTAGTTACCACTAATTTTACAGTCTCAAAATTACCACAATCTCCATAAAGTTGTTGCATAACATATTACTAATGTTATGTCTGTCATATAAAATCACCTTAAGGGGAAAGGCCTTAATAATCCAACCAATTTCTAAACTTCTTTATCCAGTTTCTTCCTCTTCTATTATTATTTTATACATTTCTAGTCCATCAGTACAGGCGCTGTATCTGCTATCTAGTGCCTGCTTTGTTACTTCATTAGCAATTTAAGATTACTAAAGAGAATCACATTTTTTACTGGTACAGTAGCTAACCCAGAGGATCTCATCCATCTGATTCTGTTGGCTTTAATAACATGGGTGAGGAGCTTGTTCTATATTCCCATTACGTTTGTAGTTCAAAATTCCATAATAATGAGAAGTTAATAAATGATGTAATGGCAACATAAATCAGTGTTATCATATTCTAGGGTAGGATTGCTTTACTTAGATTCACAACTATCCTTATTAAATGTGTCTCATAAGAAGATTTGAATTTTGTCACTATTCAAGATCATTCACCTCCAAAACTCCTTAAATGTTTCCGTGTGTGTCTTGCAGCTTAGGAAATTAAATTGAACATATAAATTTAGCTGTGTTTTTTAACTGGCTGTCACATTTTGATATCCCGCTGTTTTATTATCCTTTTCTGTGACAGAATATCTGCTAACTGTGCATGATTTAAGTGGTTCTTAGGATTTGAGTGTTAACTTATGAGTTTGATTTCAAAATATTTTTTCATTATGTCTTTTTATTTAAGCAGTATGTCTTTTTTATTTCAGTATTTTAAAATTACAGAAATAAAAAAATATCCCTGTGTGGAAAACCAAATTCTGAACATTTAAAATATTGAAAATTGTTGCTGTAATTGATGTCACTGAAGACAAGAAAGCTTAACTGTGTTACACACACAACATTTTCTTTTTATAGAAGTGAACTTGCTGCAGCCTTTTTTGTTCTGGAGATATTCACAGTATAAAATCATAAAATAATCCAAGATCTAAGAACCTAGTTTCCAACTGCTCTGAAAAAATTCGTAACTTATCTTTTTGGAGTTTATTTACAGGGGGCGGAGACTGGTTTTAAAATCAGGTTTAATACTGGTACAATGAACAGTCAGCTAAAACATTTCTGTTGGTGAGGACCACTTCATACATATATTCTTGAAATCAAAAGTGATCCTATGTTTATACATTTACACTGTGCACAAGTATGAACAAGAAAATCCCTGTTAAGTTGTCTTGTTGCACTTTGTTGACAGCAGTCACGGATCATTCAGGAATGTGGTGCTGCTGTGTGAAGCCCTGTGCAAATTGTTGTGCTGCAAGGCAGGGGCTTTCAGATCTCGGTGTAAGTTTAAGTAATGCCGCTAAATAGCTCTTTAGTATGTCCAGACCGTAAGGCTCCAAGTGGACATTGCAGTTTGACACTAGAGAGTCTCACTGTCATTCATCTTGTTAAGTTTGTCTGACCCGTACATCTAACATTATACTGAGAAGGCTCATAGCCAGGAAGGTACTTTGATACTTGTTAAACACATATGAATCAGTGGAAGTCTTTGGAGAGGCACTGCCAAGAATTTAAGAGAGATGCACTTTCTTACAGACCCTTGCACTCAGTCATCTCTCTGTTTCTTTTAGGACTTTAAGAACCCTGAGGAAAACAGTTTGACAACAAAACAATATACTGATAGACCTCTTTTCAAAAGGGTTTCATTATGATCTTGGAAACACAGGAAAGGAAGCTGAAAACCCACATTTGGGCCTCATAACATACTGGAGCTATTTTTTAAGGGGATGTGAACGTCATTAGATATACTGTCTGTTTTTTCAAACATAATCGCTCATTTCATTTTTGCTGTTTTTTTATAAGAACACACTGAGTGATAATGCATTCGTACCTTAAAAAGCTTAAAACGTTGGTCTTAATAAAATGAGAGGCCTGAAATGTTGAAGTATATGTTCACAGAAACTTTTTGTTCTAATCTTGTGACACATCATCAGCACTTCTCTTATGGAAAATGCACCACTATAGTGCTGCCAGCATGATTCATATAAGTAGGTAAAAGACTATTAATCTTTTTTCATTCTTTTGTGTTGTCTCAGGATTGTGGTCTGATTATTCGGCCCAAGGAGCCCTGTGGTTTGGAGCCTGTCCCCAGTATCCCCCCTCCAGGATATTTGCAAGGTCACACACAGGCCTGCCTCTCAGGGGATGCCAGAGGTTAGTTGATAGTGTGCAAGTTCAGACATGGTCCGTTCTGATGCTCCATAATATTTCTCCTTGTAGACTTTGACTTTGACTAGACAATGACTTTGTGAGAGTGATCCACACAGCAACAGCCAAGGCAGATTGTACTCTGGCTGTGAAGGTAGATTCTTCCCTAGCACAGCTTCAAGATACAGTACTTTAATATAGCTATGTACTGTAGCTGGCCATGGTTCATTGTCAGAAGTCTGAACTGTACAGAAAGAAATACATACAACCCATTTTGCCATCAGAGAGAAAGAGTAAATAGACTAGTCTTTTGGTCAGTCATGGTATTCACTGCACCACAAATGGAAAGCATTACTGTGCTGTAGATCTAAAGAGTGATCAGAATCCCAAGATCTGAGACTCAGTCATGTTCTTGTAATATAAAACATCCCTTTTTAAAGGAGTCTGGAAAGTACTGAGCCAGAAGGGTATGATTACTGAATATCACAAATTCACAGTTCATAATCCCTTGATCCTCTTTTTCTAGGCATTACAAACCATTGGGGAAGAATATGTGATTATTTTTCTTAACTCTGCATCACTTCCCTTATCCTGCAATATGCATATGTGCATTACATATAACTTACACTCAATTAAAACATCTCGCTCAGCCTTCTTTCAACACACTATCTTTATTCTGCCCATAATGTTGTTTTAAAATTGAATTCATGCATGAACGTTAAATTCCATGATACTGTATATCATATAGTCTGAAAGGTTTTTCTGTATGAGATTTGTGCTAATTCTACCAAACAACAGAGAAACTAATAGGAAATTCGATTTTATAGTATGTTCTACTGGATTGTATCAGAAGTATAGCTGGAAAGTAATATGAATTATAGGGACTGGATTTTTTGGTGCTGTGTAGTTTCTTCTTATGATAGAAGGTAAAATACTGTACATACTGTAAATATAGTACAATATACATTTTTTAATTAATCAATACTCTTTGTCAAGTTTTTCTCTCACAAGGAGAATCAATGGTTCTCATTTGCCTGGATTTGCTTTTATTCCCTCAAAGAGAAAATGTTTATCATAATTAGAGCAAAAAAAGAAAACAAAACTATCTAAATGAAATCTATATAATCTTAAATGGCTCTCAAAATATGAAAAAATATGTAACAGAAATTACATTTTTTTGTTTTACATTGCCAGTTTTGGTCTTCTAGACCCTCTCTACTTGTTACGGGAATACAGTCATTTTTTACTGAGGAAAGTCTGTCCTATTTTCCTAGGGCGCTGGGTGGTTCCATGTCTGAGTTGTTCAGACAACAGAACCTGTGACTGGAGGGAGGTAACCTGGCAACCCGACCACTGCTACCACCCTGTACTAGACAGGCTCCAGCTTCAAGCCTGCATGAAAGAGAGAAAGGTAACTACTAAGGCTACTCCTGCCTTGCTACACAAAACAGATTCTTACAAGCCTGCATACAGTATATCTCAGGTCAATCCACCCTTTTTATAATACATTTAAGAAGTCAAAAAGTTATTTACCTTGAAAACATGAACAGCATCCTCAATTCAAAGACAAAAAAAAACTGATTTCTTTTCAGCATCATATCAGGTATCTAGACAAAAATATTTAAGAAATAAAATGTTAATGGCCAGCTAACACAAAAATATTGTCTTTATTTGGTTTTTTTCCTTTTAGAAAAGAAACAATAAATGTCTTTTGTTAGTGCTTCCTATTGATGTTTCATATACCTTGAAAACATAAAATGAAAATCCAGGGTTACTTCTTAAATTAATTACTCTAGCACTGTAGAGTACCATACCACTTTAAAGTACCCAGGGTCTGATTACATTACACTACTTATAAGACTGGATTATTGCTAGTATATTGTAATTAATGGTATAATCTGTCGTTATGTGGTATCTATGTTATCTAGCTGATAGACAAAAGTAATAATCCAAAGGCTGTATTTAGGGCTGCATATTTACATTTGCTTCACTGTGAGTTTTCCAGAACACAGAGATCCAGTGACACTGGAATTTTAACTTCTGTTCTCGAAACCATACATCAGTATGAGGTCCATATTATGGCTCATACATGGAAGCTTCTCTTCTGTGGCTTCCCTGACTTATGGACCTGACTCATAACCTGGCAATATGAGTGTGACCCCATAACATCAGTGAAAAACTGCATAGTTTACAATGAGCTTGTCTTAGATAGTTCACATCTAATATGATGTACTGTATGCTTGATAGCCTAAGGGATTTCATTGTTGACCACGGATTAATAGGTTAGCAAAGACAAATGTTGTGCCAAACCAGGACAAATGGACAAAAAATATTTATCAATGAACCCTGCTTTACTTAACACATCTTGGATGTAGTATGAAGTATTTGTGAGTCCTCATCAATGAATAAAGAGTCAGATAGTATTGTTCTGAATCTATGAATTGGCTGATATGTGGTGAGTGTACTGGCATACTTTGACTGCCATATCATCATCCACGTGAGTGCTACACATTGGTGGTGGTGGAGCGGAGTCCCCGTTACCTATAAAGCACTTTGAGTGGAATGTCCAGAAAAGCACTATTAGAAATGTAAGGAATTATTAGGAATTTTTAAGGTTGACTGAGTTAAGTGTAATTGTTAGTAAGTCAGGAGATTCGTAAGAAATGATGTCTGAGCTGAATTTTAAGTATTGAAAGTATGCACAGCTTTGTAATAATTTAACTGTTTACTGAAACAGTGAAACTGGGACAGTGAATTATAAGACTACTGCACAGTTCAGTGACACACACAGATTCAAAGAACACAAATTCCAATTTTATTAAGAAAAACCTTCCAAATAAACCAATACAAGAGTGAATAAATATATTAATATTTTTTTCAATACAGTACAGTGTGATAACCCCACTATTAATATGGAACTGTGATATTCCTTATCATGGTACCCTTCTTTAATCAAAACCAATCTTTTCTCAAAAAAGATTATATTTCCTAATTCAATCATTTTTGAGACTCAAAGGTGTATAAAATAGAACAATTAGTAATTAAAAATCAGTCTGTGTGTGTAATAGTGTGTGTGTGAAAACAATAATTGAAACCCTAGTTTACATACAGTAGCACAGTTATAGGGGGAAATTAGAATAAGGTGGTTATCTAATTGGGCAGAAATGAAACGAGGACTGTGTTTGGGGAGCCCTGTCTTATATAGTAGTCAAAAACTTTGTGACCTTGCTTTTCACCACACAAGTTAGTAATGCCACAATCAGAAGAGATCTGAGGGAATTTCAGAAAAAGAGCAGCTGATGTTCATCGGCCTAGATATGGTAACAAAAACATATCTAAATATTGGGGGTTCAATCTAGTCTACATTTGAAAATTATTCAAGTTCACAGTTACTCTACACAGGACTGATTTTGTAGCCAAGATAGCTCCAAAAGCTATCATCCAGGAAGTCACAAAGGACCATGGAGTAACATCTAAGGATCTGAAGGCCTTTCACCTTGTTGCGAATGCCAGTGTTCATGCCTCAACCATCATCATCATCATAAACAAACTGAATGGGAATAGCCAGGAAGAAACTATTCCTTCTCTAAAAAGGAATAGTTTGCCAAAGAGCACCTGAATGGTCTGCAGGACCACTGGAAAAATGTACTCTGGACAGGCAAGTCAAAAGTTGAATTTTTCGGCCCCAAAGGGAAACATGTTGTGGTGAACACCAAACAGTGCTTTCCAACAGAAGAATGTCATCCTGGCTATGAACCATGCCAGTGACAGTATCATGGTTTGAGGCAGCTTTACTGCTTCAGGACTCTGTATCTTTGTGACAAATTCAAGAAGACAATGTCAGGTCCTTCATTTCACCAGGTCAAGTCAACTGAACTTGTAGAACTTTTTTTTATATTGCAGGGCCAAAAATGGGACACTTGTAGGTTCAAGAAGTGCAGTGTGAGCACTGGGGGTAGACAGGGTTGTTAATGAGACTTCCGGGTCTGATGTTATAGGTTCTGCCGCTATGGGTTTCGGTGTAGGCATAATTTGCAGGTTTACTGCCAACAAAAAGAAGTGAAAAAAGAGATGATTGTGAGAAGGGATGGGAAGGGAAACATAAAGATGTTGCTTTTTTGAAAACATGAAATACTGTATAAGGGTCAAGAATAAGAAGAAGAGCAACATAGTTGGCTTGGAGGATAGAGTGGGTAGCCAGTCCCAGAGTAGCACTTGGACTAGAGCCTTGTTGGCAGTGCTTCGTCATAAGGAAAAGCTGAGAGAGTAGGGAGGTCATTACGGAAACTGTTGATATTTGGCAGCAAAGGTGAATTCTGATTTTTTCAGAGTCCTTTGTAGATGAACCACATTCTGAAATGTGATGGTATGAGGACAACATTTGTAGGTGGAGAACATTGTTGTGGAAAACTGGTATGGTGGTATGGAACTGCAGAGCAAGGGAGTGTCAAATGAAGGAGCCACAGGTGGAAGAGGCTTGAGTTAGGGGAGTCGTTGGTTATTTAATTATCTTCTGTTGTGATATAAGAAGTTAAATGTGACATGACCTTCATGCAGCCATGGGTTTGTGGAGTTGAAATGGGATGGTAGGACTGTGGTTTCCAAAATCAGTGCAGCTGGCATTTTCAAGTCAAGTGTAGTTCATTTTACAAACCAGCAAGTGTAGAAACACAAAGGTCTTGAAGTCCCGACTTTGAACTAATAGGCCAGAATAACCTCTGGTGTCGTGTTTTATGAGAAGTTATAGTAGCAATTATTCCACAATGACTAGGAACCAAATGGACAAAAGGACAGAATGATAATGAAACACACATTGAGGAAAACATACTTTGAACACATTTTGTTGGTCTTTGCTTCAATTTGTAATTTATGAGCTATCGTCATCTATGAGATTAGTTTTAGATGACAAAACAAATGAAATGCAGACTACCTCTGTTTAATTAACATCAAACCTAAATGTTCCAATATGTAACATGTGTTGTGCCAGCAAGGTGAGCCTAAGAGTTAAATGTGTGGGCAGCTGAGTCATAAATGAAAGATGCATGCCAAACAATAGTGGGGACTTTAAATGTCCAAGGGTAATATTTTCCACATGCTTTTGATCCTGGTAATAAATTTTATGGTTGGGGTTTTTGAGTGTTCCTTTTACACAAACAGGCCAAAACATTAGAGAAGAAAATTAAAAAAGAAACATCCTTAATTTTTAATACTGAATACACATTTATGTGAACTTGTGATATGTTATAAAACCCCCTAAACTAGTAAAAGCTGTGTTTGATCTGTAAAATGCAGAAGCATCCTGTTGGTTTGCTTGATATTAGATGCCAATACAAGCAGCCGATCTTTCAGCGCAAGTGATTGTTTTTTTATAAGGAATGTTGCAAAACAGAAAATCATTAGAATTTCAAAAGACAAGAATGTTGACAGTTGTTTACACTGCTTTTCCTTTGAGCCCAACCACTACCCCCTAAAACCCCCTCAACGATGAAAAAGAGCCAAATTTCTACCAAGCAAATTACTGTTAAATGGCCTCCTTTCATTGTTTTCTAATATTCTTATAACAGGAGCCAGCCAGAGACCATGTGGCCTGATTCAGAACTTTTGTTAAAAAACACAAGCTTACAAGCATTAAATTAGAGTGATATAATAAAATAAAATCAAATTTAATTTAAAAAACCTAAACCCATTGAGCACAGATCAAGTGTATTTAAGACATTTGTTTAAATGATACTCTACCCTAGTGTTAGGTCCTGGAGGGATGGTGTGTCTCTAGATTTTTCAGATGCAGAGGCATCTGAAGAGCAGGGAGCCTGAAAGACATTATTAAACTGATCCATTGAAGGAAATAATAACTTGATTCAGGTTAAGAGCCAAGCTGGACTTAAGACCTGTAGACACACCACCATTTCAGGATTAGTATTGGGGACTGCTGCTCCACACACCAAAATACTTAACACTGCATAAAAATATGACTTCATCCTGGTGCACCCAGATGCTGTTGTGCCAAAAAAGCAATAGTTATGAAACTCCCATAAGAGTCTGATATTTAAGATGTAGTTATTAATAGTCAAACCTAAATGCATTATTAAAATGTTTCACATGAAGTTTAGCTCAAATGTCATTGATTCTGATATAGAATGTATCATGTTTCCTTGTGCCCATAATTCTATACACCATAGCATATTAGAAGGAACTAAGGCATAACTCTTTAATTGCATTGCCATGAGGAAACAGAAAAAAGGAGAGCCAAGCATCTATTTAGCTGCAGTTAGGAATTGCCTCTCTAACCCATAAAGACAGACTTTCTCAGTCAATAAAAATTATGGTTCTGGTTCACTTGTAAAATGCAATGAAGTACCTCACTTCAGAAAATAAAGTAACATTACATCTATAAAAGAGTGCTTGAAAGCGTTTATAAATCAGTAATTGTGTGTAAGATGTATAATGTATAATTTGCATATTTAAGGTTTCACTTAAGCAAAATCACAGGTTATTTTTATAAGCAAAGCAAATTGAATGACATCTGCTGGGAAAGCACAGCATTTTATGCTACTTTATGCTTCACTAAATATGTAAGGCCTTTATTCTTTCACAAAAGAATTACTCAAGGGAAAAATGACAGAAGGCAAACTTCATTCAATCAATAAAATAAATCGGAAAGATTGTGACATCATTCTGGGGCTGCTGGCTGTAGCTCCTCCACGGATTCTGGCTCCCTCTCATATTGGCATATTTCTGAGAGCTGTCCTAAGGGAGATGTCCTGGCCATGGTTACTTCGCCCAGGGACTCTCACCTCTGGTCCTCATGGTCTGAAATATCACTGTTTTTTCTGTATCTAAGTTTTTATTGCACCAATTTTACTTTTGGTAAGGATATTTTTTATGTACATTTGACTTAAGTCACCTGTTCACTGATTCAAAGGATCTGCTGAAGCATCATTCTGCAACTGAACTTCTTCACAACTGACTTTTTGTTTCAGGATGTTATTATTTTTTTGGTGTTTTGTTGTCTTTGCCTCAGAACCCAGCTCAGCAGGTATACGTATTTGTACAAGTACATGTTTACTGTAAAAGAAGAGTGGGTAAACATATTTTGCATTATATTTTTGAGTCAGGTCAACCCTGGTAACACCGTGTTTTCTATTAATTTTATGCATTGTTTTTCCTGATGTTTTAAGTAGTTTTTGAACATTTGGTTTCGCATTGTAAATGTCACTTTATTATGTCACTAGATTGTATAATACATTTGAGTTTCATTGTTAAACAGTCTCTCATGACTGTTTCTTATTTCTTCTGGCAATTATTCAGTGTGCACTGTGTGATACTGTAGTTACAGTGTTATTACGAACCACAAACTCTTATTATTTAAATAATACTTAGAATTGTTTTACACAAATAAATTACTTTCTTAATACAAGTGCCAAACCATTTACTTGTATAAACCATGGAGTATACTGGAGTGTGTATGTGTAATAAGAATTTTGCTTGTGTCATTCTAAAATGTTTCCAGAAGAGGCAAAGTTTTGAACCATTTATTTTCATAAGCTACATTCTATTGCCTAAAATGTGCCAAGCTGAGCAAAGGGCTACTGTTTGTGTTAGGGTTGCTTAATGACTCAACTAGTAGGAGAACCAATGGAAACAATGTTGTCAGAAAGCTTTCTTTGGTACTGTACCATGAAGTAATTACTAAATAAAGTTGTCTTTGTGGCTTTAATGTCAATTGCAGTCCAGTTTTGCTCTCAAGTACCTGGAGTCAGAATGATCTGCCTGGCAAAAAGGTATAAGGTCTGGTAAATACATTGTTCACAATATAAAGGAAAAGCCTTGTTGTAAGTAATGTGCAGAAGCTGGCACAGTTCTCCAATGAACACTTTCATCCCAAAGATTTTATAAGAAGACTTGCATTTTACACCCTCCTTAAAACTGCTTCATTGCCTTTGCAAGAGAATTCCATCGTCATTAAATATAATACCAATAGGACCTAAGAACATTTGTAAAAGGACATGCATTGTCTTGCTGAAAGGTTATGTCTTAAGATTACTAACCACAAATTTTATAAAATATTACTGTTTCATCTGCATTATGGCTGGGACATTAATTTCATAGCACAATTAAATTTCCAGCCAATAATCCACAAGTACTGAATGCCTTTTCAGATTTCTGGCTTGACTAATTCCTGTTCTTTCAAAGATTGTAATGATTGTATCAAATGAGATAACACCAACGGTCATATTGGTTATATTGAGGAATATCACCCCAAGCATTTTTAATTATTTAACCAATAAAAAGTAATATTCTTCACTCTTTTCGAAACTAACTTTATTGAGAGTGCATAAACTATTATTTTTCTGGGTTTATTTTAATAAGGAAGAAGAAATAAATGAGTACTGGTTGTGCTATATTTGTTTCTTTTAATAAACAATTCAGTTTTGGTACTCAACCAGACATTGTTGCTGACATAGTATCTTTTAAGGGCTGTGTTCTCCTTTATTTGGACAATGCACACATAAATGAAATGTAGATAAAGCCTAGTATTGCACCCTGTGGTTACATAAAGTAATAATAATAACAAACAACAACAACAGTAATAATAATAATAATAATAATAATAATAATAATAATAATAATAATAATATTTCTTTATACATGTAAACTGAATGTTATTATTACACTTTACCACATTTATGTAAACACCACTTTTGTCCCTAATGCATAAGCAATTGTGTTCACCTCTGATACGTCTAGTTTTTATTTAAAAAGCAGCTTTGTGTGATGAGTTGAAAACCTAGACATTTTCTTCAGAAAACTTCAAGTAGTGGACCTGCGAATGACAAATCTACAAATGAATTTAACTATGATTAGAAAGAATGAAACAGCTAGTCTGGCAGCATCAGAATTTGTATGTCAGAATTAAATTCTGTTATTTTATGATGTCCGATTCAATTGTTTTTCTTTTCAAAAGGTTCTTTTTATTGGGGATTCAACGAACCGAGGAATGATGTTCTACCTCATGGAACGTGTGAACGAGACTCTAGATGATTGGGACAAAGCTCATGACACTGTTGTCTATCATAATGTCAATGAAGGAAAGACTCTTATCAGCTATTCTTACTACCCTCAGTTCTGGTTAAGTAAGGACCAAAGGCCCACATTTGAGAAGGCACTGCAGCACCTAATTCTGAGGTAACACTCCTCTGTTTGTGCCTTCTTTTATGTTTAATTTTCTTGGAACACAATGTTAAGGCATTCTTTTCCTTTTGAAAACTTTGTCCAGGAAAAACAAGATAACTCCAGAACATGCAGAGAAACTAATGTGTTTTCTTTGGACATAGGAAAGAAATGGCTTGCCACTGACATGGACACGGATCCACAAACATCTTTTGGAACAATAAGGTTATTTAGTGTACCATGTGTGAAAGATTCATTTCCTAATGTTTCTAATTACATTAAACAATGATATGAAGCCACAAAGACTGATTCATGTGGTGTTAAGAGGATATAAAATGGAAAGCAGTTCATGTAAATTGCGTTCCAGTGCTGACATGCTGAGATTAAATGTAGTACGGTTTGGTTGGAACATTGTCATCTGTTCTCACCATGTGATATTATTTTTTTCTGCTATCTCTCAGATCCCGCCCGCTTGAAAACACAGAGCAAACAGTGATTGTTGTTGGAGGAGTTCAATGGCTCAGTACTGATCACCTGACAATCATACACCGTGTCCTGAAAAGGTACTTTTAAATGGAAACATTTCTAAATATGAGTAATTTCAAAGTCAGAATTTAAAAACACCCCAACACCAACAACAGTAATAATTATAATAATAATATACTGAGCTTATCCCTCTATGCATGTGTATTTTTGGAAAAATATAGATTTGGGGTACTGATCTTTTTTTTTCCTTGTCATTTTCTTTAATTGATTATATGTTGTGGGACATTTAAGTGATATTAACTGTTGCATAAGGACTAAATCCCTTCATAAATGTTTGAGCACATGTAATGAGGTGATTTAACCTGTTGAATGTTAAGTCTGTCCAAAATTAAGAAGAAAAATTTCAAAAGGGAACCAACATGCGACACTTACCAAACAACAAAGCCTGTGTGCACTTCTGTATCTCAGAGGTTTCAGTACACTGTTGATCACCATCAGGGGTGTTTACAAACAGCAATATATAACCTGGCAAGACATTATAGCCAAACAGTACTGATAGGCCACACTCTAGGAAACCACAAGTCAAGATTGATAAAGTAGTCCAAGTGTGATGGTCTGATCAAGAGTGTCTAGGCACTGCAAAACTCTTCTTGCAGTGATTGTTGTTGATCACACGGCACTACAATGATCAAGTCCTGGGACCTCACTTCCTTGTCTTCCTGGTGTGACAGCATTTCAGCAGGGTAACACATGCCCTTATGCTGCTCGTGTAGCAACAGCTTTCTTGCAAGATGAGAATATTATAGTAGTGGCATCGGTGGCAAACGTCCAACTGAACATTTGTGGTATGAGCTGGGATAACTTGCAGTATCTAGGTTACAAAGGCCAATGAAGAGGCTCGTATTTATGCAGACTTTATGACACAAATGCAACTGAATCTCACAAGACAGCACCTGCAAATTGGTCCAAAGCATGTGTTTCAGATGTAAAGCTTGTGTTGCTTCCATAATGTTCCCACAAATGCCACTAACCCGTGGCTTTCACAGTAAAATGAAAGTCACAGGCTAGTAGTCATGAGTTTCACCTCCTGTTGATTAACGAGACAACAGATCTTTATGGGAAGCAGTCATACCATTTTTAAGTTATGACCTAGATAACACAGCAGACTGAGAGATAGAGATGAATAGTAGCAGACGCCGTTCTTGCTATGCCAGGGCACTGGTAAAGTAAAGAAGATGGTAGAGCAGTACTGGCCAAGAAGGGGATTATCCTGTAAAGATCAGGTTAGGGTTCTCTCCCTCACAGGGGTCCCAAGAAGGTCAGATATAGCGTCAGTTACAGTAGTTATAAATCCTGTGGAAGATTTATCTACCCTCCGAAGGGACCGAGTAAATGGTTTGATTGTAAGTTCACAAACAGCTGATTCTAAATCCCGGAGGAGATTTAATTAGATTCCTTGTTGAGGGAAAAACTAGATCAAGGTTCTCCATCAGGGGAACATGAAGGTCAAAGGTTAAAAACTGCAGAGGGAGTTTGAGAAGAGAGAAGCAAGGGCAGGTCTCCAGTACTTTGCTCAAGGTGTGGTTTGACACTCCAAGTCCATAATCGAAGGGCAAGGGATGTGCCAGTGTGTAAGTCTTTCAAGAGTTGAGAGGGAATACTTCAGGATTTGGATACTAATAGCATAGCCTTGGTTTCTCAGCATGTGGCTGAGTAGTGTCTGGCAGGGAACAATATAACTTTACTAATCTTTGAGGAGGTTATATTCACTAGGACTGAGGTACACTAAGGAGTGAGACGGGAAGATTTGTTTAGTTCACCTAAGGATGGTACAACTTCATATATGAATGACTGAGCCAGGGAATCCACAAACAAAGAGCTCTTATAATGGGTTAACACTCAGGAGGAGAGAGATGAGTAGCTAAATAGTCTTCTTTGATAGGATATCTGTAGCCTCAAGTCCTGGTCTCAGTTGTAGCTGGAGGTTTCCTGATGAGGGAGAGAGTAGCAACATTTCTCTCGGAGGAGATTACACTTAAAATCATCGGGCAGGTTGTCTCCTCTAAAATATATATGTTCCCTGAGGTTAATGGAAGCCTTGTGTCTGGTCCAGAAGTGTGCATACTGTTGGAAAGGAGTAAAAACTATAGGCGTGGTTCCCCGAGAGTTGTGTAGCAATAGTACTGTTGGAACAAAACCTGCATAAAGGACACGGATACACCGCAGACTCACAAAATTTATATCAGATACTGGCAAACCCCCAGACAGATGCCAGAAAAAAGCATGTGGCTCAGAGGCAAGCAGACACTCCATTACACTTTTATGTAAGTAAGTGAGTTATAAGGTTTCTTTAGGTGGTCAGTATCAAAATAAGAAAGGGTTTAAAATGATCACCAGACATGTACTTAATTCTAGGTGATCAGGAGACTAAGTGAGAGACATCTGAGTAGGAAATCTTATATCAAATATACAGTAATTTAAATTATGTCCTAAGGCAGGGAACATTTCATTGAATTATTGTGGGGGTTTGTAACAACTGATTACCTGATTTTATATCATTGCACTGATGAACAGTAGATGAAATAACCTAAGACTTGCATATACTGTATCAACTTTCCCCATTCCAGGTTTTTTTAATAACATCAGAGAAGTGACCACTACATGACCTATAGTCTTAACTAACAAGTTATTAGGAGGGTATGGTAGGATTTTTGAAGTCTTGGTATTGATTTACTATGTCTGTAATATAATGAGGCTGTTCTATGACATAACTATGGCTAAACCTAAAATTGTGATGGAAGTATTTTAGTGTTTTAAAAAACTTTTCAACACAACACGTATATGTAAACGGTTCTGATTTTTATTATTTTTTATGTACTTACAAAGATAACAACACAAAAAAATGTTTTTGGTTCCATTACTGATCCATTGCATTGGTTATACCTCTCAGTACATGATTAGGAGTTTTTAGTAACATATTTAGTAACCAATTTTAGTGACAAAACTATTCAAACTAAATGTAACAAAGATATTACACAGTGTTTCATTGTTCAAAGAATAGTGACAGTGGTATTCTATAATATCATAATTAACAGTTATTTGGTGTAATTGCTATTTAGGTGTTTTGTCATCTATTTTAGAAAAAAAGGAATAGAAATAGTAGTAGTGTTTTAGAACAGTTTTTCTGTTTCACAAAGTCATAAAAAATGTTAACTGTTAATTGAACTGTAGCTGAATAATTGCAAATAAAGACCAATTAGAATCTGTTTAGCACCCTGGACAGCTCTTGGGAAACAGGTCATATACAGTAGCTCTCATCCCATATCTCTTTATCTGCAAACCAGAACTGGATCCGATCTGTGAAAGTTAACAACTTTTCTGAAAACTAAGTACAGTTAGTACAGTGAGTACAGAAAGTACTTTTCTTCTGAATATATAAAAGAAAAATCTTCATGCAGCACTGCTACCTCACTTGTGAGGTGAGGCAATGACTAAAAGTGCATATGCAAAAGTGGACTTTAAAATAATAAGATCTAATATCTAAATAAAATAAATAAGACAGGGGTTAAAATGTTTATTTAATAATAATTTGAATACATTATTTTCCTTTTGCATATTAATTATAGGCATATAACAATTTTACACTTTTTAAACTGAATATTTGTTGTCAATTATTGAATACTCACCTCAACAATTGTATGTGTGAATAGTTAAATGCCTATTTAAAAATAGCAAAAACAGCAAGGAAAATATTTGGCAGTAATTACTGCTGAGAGTCTTTTTAGATAAGTCTACAAACTTCACACATCAGGATAGTGCAGTTTTCACCATTTCCTCTTTGCAAACTTACTCACTTACTCAGGTTCTGTCAAGTTAGTTGGGGATGGACAGCAAATGTCAAGTTTCATAGCACACTTTCTATGAAATTCAAGGAAGGACTTCGACTGGGACTGTCAAGGACATTCACTTTCTTATTTTTATACCACTCCAGCTTTGAGTCATTGTCTTGCTTAAAGGTGAATTTGCCATTTTACCATAGTCTCAAACAGCTTGTCAGACCCCATTGATGATGCAATCACCATGCTTGGTTGATAGCAGGGATGGTACTGACTGGGCGATGTTGAGTTTATGCCTAATTAAATGCTTTGCATTTAGACCAAAAGGTTCCAATTTTATTTTATTCAACCACAATGTCATACCACTTTTGCCATATGTGAGTAGTAAGTATCACTTAAATGCGTTGTTGAAAACTCCAGGTAGGAATTCAAATTGGTTTGTCTGTCTTTCATATAGGCCAGTTTGGTGGAGTGACTGGGATATTGTTGACTCATGGACATTTCTCATCTCAGCCACTGAACTAGTCAATAGTCACCTCACAGTGGCACCCCTAACTCTTATTTTCCCTTTGCGTGGCTGCTCGGTTTGGAGCATTCAAGTTTTGATTAATCATATTCACTGAAAAAGATGTGTAAATAGCATTTTCAATTCAAATACGTGGGACTTGGCAGCATGGTGGCAGCAGTCCAAAACATCCTAAAAGGTTAACTGGCTTCTGGGACGGGTGGCTCTGGTGTGAGTGTGTGCATGTTACAGGAAGTCCCCTGTAACATGCACACACAGCGTGTACCCTGCCTTGAGCTGAGTCTCTGGTTCCCCCATTACACTTTATTAGAAGAAGTGGTTAGAAAATGGATGGACAAGTGGAGCATCGCAGAAAAGGATGAATACTTTTGCCAGGCGTAGCGATGAACACACTGTGAAATCAGTATTTCTGCAATGCAGTTGTTGTTTTAACTTTGTATTTTTTATCAGGGAAAACCTTTTGAATATACTTGTTGTGATAAAAACCCTCGGTATGGGATTTCATCTCCACGTTGATGGGATCCGGTCTCTTTCACTGGTAAGCCTGATCGGAACGCAACCCCCAAAAACCCAAAAGGGAAAAAAAAGAAAAAAAAGGGAAAACCCTGGTAAAAAGGGGCCTGTAAGCAACATATTGCCTCTTTAATAGGATTTGACTTCTAGCACAGTCTTTAGAGCAGGACAATGGAAATGCCTGAATAATCTGTTAGTGATATTTTAAATGTGATGCTTAAAACTGTTATAAGCTTATAAATATTTTTTCTACATATAATGAGAAAAGGACTTTAGTATTAAAGCATAAATACTTGCTTGAATGTCTAGTAAAATCAGTTGTAAAAAAGAAGGTGGTTAAGAACATCAAATATTCATTTTAATATGGATCTTGCAGGGGCCATTTTTGTGAAATGTGGAACAGTATTAAAAAGAAAGTGGAAATGTATTAGCAGATGACAAAATATGGATCAAATCTTCCTCTGTATGTAAAAACTCTAGTCTCAGAATTCAGGAAATTGTCTCACTAGCATTTCATTGATTTATATCAGTCATTGGTAAAATGTCTGCAACAAAATATCTAGAAAAGCAAGCTTTTTAATTTGATGTATATACCTTTCAAAAGTTTATATTCAACTCCATTACCATGGATTTGGCCAAATCACATTTATTTTAACATGATTGTCATATGATTTGAGAAATAGAACTAGCCCCCCAATTAACATATCTGATTTAACAAAGTTGGTCCCTGGTCATGGTGTGCTCTAGATAAGGTGAGGCAACACATCTGTGCAGTCATGTAGAATGTGAAACCATAATGAATGGAAAAGGTCAAAAGTATAAAAGGTAGTAAGAGATATAGGAAAGTGATGAGCTTAGAGAAAAATCTCTATATGATTCAGAGGAATGAGAACAAGGAATAAACAAGTGATACTGTCTTGCTAGAGGCTTAAACAAAGTGATGTGCAAAGCATTCACGCAGATGAGGAGAAAGTAGCCCATATGTCTATACCCTACTTTCCTCATTCTTCGTGTTCTCTGTAAATGACTTTAATTTCAGCCATAACACATACATTAGCAGTAAAATGAATAAATGTATCAATTCTTGGGAATGGAGTACACGCACACACACTCACTGAGCATGACAATTTTCTAGAATGCATCTTATTAGCCGAGGAATACCTGAAATCGTGCGTGTGCTTTAAATGAGTTTTGCTACAAAATACCTGATTCAAGGTATTGAGTCTGATAAGCTGATAATTCAGCTCATTCATTTTTTTGTTTTAAGTTTAATAATTTATTTTGTGTTTTTGAGGTGTGCAACTGAACACACTTTTAAGCCAGAGAAGGGCTGTATCCTCCCCAGATATTTGACTCACTTCTTTTGATTACAGAAAGCTGTGCAGGACCTTTATTATGAAAACGAGAAGATTTTAATTACTGCCCAGCAGCACGGCTATGAAGTCATTGACACTTTCAGTATTACAATGGGTCGCTTCAAGGAGTTCCTGCAAGGAAGATGTGCATGTCACTTTCATGAGGTAATGATCAAGCCTAACTATGACCTTAATAAAAACCCAGGAATGCATGTTTTGCAATTTTCATTTGGACTTTCTGTCATGATCACTGACTTTAACTAAGGTGGATCAGGGGTCATAAAACACGAGCCTTTAAATTAATTTCAGGAATAATGTTTTGATAGCCATAAATGATGAGGAAGCTTCACTCTGTTAAGATTATGAGGAACAAAACAATTGCATGTCTAAAATTGCTGTAATTGTTACGGTGTCATAACTCTTTTGGTTGGTCTCTTAAAATGTATGAAGTAACCCATATTTTTAAATCTGCAGTGTTTAAGTTGGTTTCATTTAATGAGCAATTGCTAAAAGTGCTGCTTATGATTTCATGAACCACATGCTACACATTGGTAGCAGATGGGAATTAAGGGTTTTCTGAAGTGGTAGTAACTGTGCAAAATGTGATCCGAACTGAGAAACATGGGACTGTAATGATAGGTTACTTGCCATTGGTAAGCCAAAGGGGAACTCACCATGACTTAATTGTAGCTAATTGGTTTAAACAGGATGAGGCTAATAGAAGAAATGTAACAGAAATCACTGAACTCAAACACAAAACAGATCGTAAATCTGATCAGTCAGTAAAAAATATGAATCAAGTCCACAGAAAGCCCAGAATTATAGTAATTTATGCATAAAGAACAAGTTGGTTATTTTGCAGTGTGATAATAAGCCACTCAGTACAGGATAATTTGAAAGTACAGTGTTTGCGTTAATTCTGTTAGTATCCCAGAGTTGCGCTACAGGAATAAAATGTTATCAGTACCGATATATACTCCTATTTTAGATTCTAGTTTCCTTATTCTTTTCAGTTATATTATGCAAACTAAGTATGATACTTTTCACCAAGCCCTAAGCTGAATCATTGTTTATTAAATTCAAATCAAAGCTTTTGAAACTTTTAACAAAAAAACAATAAGAAATTATTATTTGTAATAATAATAGCAGGGGACCCTTATTTTTTGTGTACTTTGTGAAAACACAAACTTGTCATGTTTGTTTTGTTTTATTTGTATGAAAGAGGTCAAAGAGATTTTTTTTTAAAAGCCACTTCCTGAAGACTAGTTCTTCACCCACATCTGTTTTTTTAACCTACTTGTGAAATATCAAATCTACAAAGTTTACAGAAGGGTGTTGCTATTATTGACTTGTTAGTAATGTTTCTATTTCTTCATGGTTGCAAATCCCATTACATTAGTTTTAAAACTAAAACTTATATAATTGGATAGTTTAAAACTATAGTTTTAGTGTGCGGATTTTTAACAATATAACTTTGATTTGTGAAAAATATTACAGTTTTTTTTAATAATGGGACTTTTGTATGCCGTATGTCATAAAACTTTTAAGATACAGTACATACTGTACTTATCCTATCTGTGCATTTTATTTGGCAGGTAGGGAAGCGAACATTTTCAGATGTGCCCCTTCACAGAAAAATGAAGCTCTCCAGACACTCTGTGAAAGATTTTAACAGTCACAGCAAGCTACCAGGACTGCAAGACGTTTTGTCCATTTCAAACTCACCATATCATGTCAAAGGTCCAATAAATCAAGTTTATTCTGAAATTCTTCTCAGCAGGATCTGCTTGAATAAAAGGAGAGATTCTAGTGCACAGCCCTAGTAGATAAAGTCTGCAACGAAGACCCAGGCTCCCTGCTTTCCTCTAAGATTGGTCCAAGAATGACATTAACTCACTTTCTGTGCTTTCTGGTTGGCCAAGAGGGGAACAACCAAAGACATGTGACACCTTTCCTGGCTTTATGAGATCAAGATGTGCCCCTGTAGATATGTGGTTTAAGAATGGCAGATGGTGAGAGACTGAAAACCAACAGGACTTGATGTCTTGCCAAAAATGAATAAAACAGCTGTAGACAAAGAAAAATATTTTGCACACACTTGTGAAATCTACATTAGAATTCACGACTTATATCAAACTACTTGGAACACTTACATTCAGCATGGCATGAAGTGCACTAATCTGTTCAAATGTCCTTTAATTGTAGGCAGTGTTATTTTGATTCTATGCTTAAATGCAAATGCCTATGTACCATGGCATGTAATGACAGAATTATATTTTCTTGAAGCCATTCTTTTAAATGGACAGTGACTTAATGGATATCCGGCAGTCTGTTACAGACATGTTTTCTACATTTAACTTAACTTACCTCACTGAGTTTTATATAATAAAATATTAAATTCCTAGCCAAAGTTCTCTGACTTTTAAATTGTGACAAAAATGTCTTAAAAGTTACATGTACTATACAATGTTAAAGTGTTTATAAATATTTTTATCCTTCATTGCTTTTGAAAGACAATATTTGTAAAGATTTTTCTTACAAAGTATATGTTTTTACCTGTATATATAGGATATATATCTAGAATTATAATGAATTGTATTTTTGCCAGAAGGTCTTTATTATTGAAGTCAAATGTCTGCGCACAAGTAGAAATTAGACACCAACTACAACCGATGTCGATGTATTTGGAAATTTTGCATTTAATTAATTGAATGTCTTAAGTCCTGTTTACAGTATGTTAGTATGTCCAGGTTTGCCTTTAGCATTTCCAGTATGTGACATACATTATGTGTATATATTTATCTGTTGACTCTTGATGTGGTATTGTATATTGCTCTTTACATACTGTATTTAATTCACATCTCAAGATTGTGTTTTTAATGCAAAAAGAGATAGGTTTATTTTCCATCTATTGCTTTGTACTTGTGAAATATAAACACATTCTGTCTTTTAGACGACAATTATGACAAATTGCATTCTGCCAGTATTAAAAAATGTATTTGTTTTTATAGCAGTCTGTCAAAATAATGCAGGTTGTTTTTGTTACATTTTCTGTGTTTTCCTATTGAAATACCACACACTCTAAAAGAATATAGCAATTCAAACCTTATCCCTAGACATTACAGGCCTTTGAAAAACTCAATAATTTCTGTGCTGAATTGGTTCTTATTTGCTTAATTAACCCATGTGCTGCACATCACTTTGATAATTAAGGAATTATTGAGTCAAAGTAATCCAGGTGCCAAGTTTGACTAGTCCCTTAACTATAGGAAAAGTATTCTACAAGGAGCCCACTGAAGCACTGAGAAGAATTCATAATCTGATTTTGTATCTAATCAGACTGCTTCCTAGGAAAGCTTTCAAGTTTTCAATAGCAAGAATATCGTGGTGTCCCGTAATAGTCAGGGGCAACATAGTATTCAATGTTCCTGCAAATTTACTGTGTTGACACTGTAATGTGCTGTATAGTCTAATTTTTGAGAATGCAATAAATACATTCATTCAAAGCTTGAATAAAGTGACTATGACGTGAGTATTCCTTATGGTTCTGTTATGCATTAAATATAACATAATACTTTAATTAGCATGCTGTTTCTTTACTGCTGTTATGGAACTTTCTATTGCTAACATATACAAAACATAATTCACCTTGTTATCCACTATTACAGGAGGACCTATTAACAAGAGGTATTTACATTCACAGACTTACACCAAGGAGTGTGAAGGTATAATATCAATTGTGACAATTTGCACAGCACCTCCATTCCCTACACAGAGAATATAAGCATTAACTAGTTACTCAGTATCTTCAGGGGTTTGATTATGTACTCTTTTAAAGATCCATGATTTAAAAGTCTTATCAGTTCTGATCACTTTCTTTTTGTGTATTAGTAAACACCCATCACTCTATTTATTATTTATATTGGCTGTAGTTCTATGCACTATTCACCAAACTAAATAGCTCTACTATTCTAAAACACTTTCCAAAAGACACGTCTACTGAAAATGTTTTGCTAATAGTTGATTAAGACATAGACAAAATCTTCAAGATGTCTTTTGCATTGTCAAACAATGTGTTAGCTTGTCAGTATAGCCAGCATAGTTGTTTTTCTTTCTCTTCTTACTACTTATGTCCACTCAGATTTTCAGAATTAGTAAACTCATATTATTATTTTTTTTCTTAAAGCAGCCTTAAAGAAGGAAATTCAATTTTGTTCCACAGATTGGTTAGACTGAAAACGGCACCCTTTGTCTGGACATTTTCCAGTAACTGGAATTTTGAAATTTATACTTTCTGGCAAGCTTGCTAAATTATCCATAGCTTCTACTCCAGGATTGTAAAGGATACGTTAGACTTACAGTGTAAACAAAGCCTTGTGTTTTATACCCTACAGCAATGTTTCCTAAAACCTTTCCTGCACAGCCCCTTCCCCCAATTACTGAAGGTTTTTGATCTAACCTGCATGAGATCATTTGTTTTAACTTCTTTTATATATATTGCTCTACTTATACATAATATGGTAACAAGTCATTTATATTTTAAGATGTTCCTGTTTTACATTCCATGTAAAGCAGTGTACACTTTAAAATAGATACTAAGTTTAAACCAGACTGCAAGGAGAGGCCTTACAGAGCTTAACCTTATGTATTTCCTTGGAATTTTATTGAAGCAAATCCCTTCTTTTCCTCCTAAAAGCTTGATTTTGTGGAACATCTGTAAGAGTCTTTTCAATTATGCCACACACAAAAATGGACACTTTACTCTCAACAAAGAGAGGATGTCTTGCACAGGATCTTCACCAGAAAACACAGATTTCTTCTCTTGAAATGCCCTAAGAAAAGAAAGGAACTGCAGCCAGCACAGAGAGCATAGCACCACAGAAGTAAGCATTTTCTTGCAAAAAAAGGTAACTCTGAAAGGTCCTTTCAATGCAAAGGTATTTATCTCCTAAATCACATTGTTATGTGAACCACAGCAGGGTGGTGTATACAGTATGTATAGCTGTAGAAAAATGCTGATCTGAAGTATATAATCCCTTTAAATAGTTTTTTTAAACATTTTATAGTTCATGGATAAGCCCCTTCATGTTATATTTCAGTTTTTCAGATTAATCACTTTCAACTAATCGTATTATTTAACCAACTTTGTAATACATCTAATATATTATCCGTGTCTGCAATATGAGGAATCTGACTCTAAGAAGATGCATGTGACATTGTTCATTACTGACCTGAAAAAGGAATGGTGTCTGTTAGATACATTTTTAGGTTTTCCTTTTTTTTAATAATGACCAAAAGAAAACATAAAATTGGCATTACACATTCAGTAGTACCCCAAAGATATATTTTTCATTCAAGAACAAACCTATATGCGCCAGAAACTTATAGTTACTTACAATCAAGAAATAATTAAGAATTAGAGAATTCCCGGTTTTACTCTTTAAAGAACTCATAATTTAAATTCTTCAGTTCCAGCATGGCATCAAACGTCTATTTTCTGATTGTGTCATTAGTAAACACTCATCACTCACTATTTCTTGTTTTACTGTATGTTGATAGCAGCTGAACTGTAATTTAAATAATTAGTATTTATATTAGCTGCTGTTCTACACACTATCCACCATAGTTGTAAGTTCTAAAAGACTCTCAAAAAGATATTTTCACTGATTAGTTCATTTTGCCGATAGCTGTCAAATGTATTTTGCATTCAGTGCCTCACATATCACAGCTCCCATGTCCACTGGAAATTAATTTGTGACTCAATGTCCCATATTGACTCTTTTCCCTTTGCTATTGAGATTTGAAGAATGGACATACTGTATAAAGTGCACTGTAGCAATCTGCTTCTCCGTATTATTAAATTCTAATAGCACATGTTATTCAGCATAAAGAGAATTCAGAGAAAAGAGCAGTCCTATAAAAGTAAGCAAGATTAGTCCTGATGCATGTATGCAGTGCTTGCAGTTCTGTAAAAGATATTTTGGTTTAGCAAAGCCATGTCTCAGAGATCCAGCTACCCAGGCTTAAATTTCAACTGAAACTTTAATCCCTGTTATGTAGGAAGACGCTGAAAACTGACACTTCCTCTTCAACACATTTGTTATATTATAGTAATACAATATGTCCTTTTGACTTTAACACTGAACTACCATGAAAATATACAATTTGTCAAAAGACATACTTTCCCATAAGGGGTGAATGGCTGCCCTTACCATCCAAGTGTTATTTTAGTTTTAGAAATATACTGCAACATCGTACCACATGATTTTATCACCAGGTACGTAAGGATTGCAACAAAGCAAACTGAAAAACTACTGCACATACCAGTTTGTTTTACCTTTTCTTTCTCAGCTGCTATTTGTTTTGTCATACTTGACAGGTGGACTCACTGAGCATGAGGTTTTTGTAAAATTATGTATGTTATATATAGTATAGAGAGTGATTTTATATGTGTAATATGGTCTGCTTGCAAGCTCATGTAAGGAGAATGTGATTAAATATTTGTGTACATGTTGAATAAATGTGTGACTATATTTTCATTCCATAAGATGTCATATTCTCCCTGCCCAACTCTGAACCACAGGAGGTTGAAACATAACAATATTATTGATGTTTCTATCAGAGGTAGGAATCAAAGTTTCTGTGCTTAGACTGTTACTGGTGCCTCAATCAAAAAGTCCATGAACTTCACATACTGTAGATACTAAATGAAATATTTATTTATAAAAAGTCAACTAAATTTACCATTCCTGCTTCACTGATTTCAGTTCTTAATACTCTATTTTAAACTCATCTGTGTAGACCAACAGTATAACCTTTATGTTGATAAAGCACAAATGCAATACTTGACTAGTCACCTTCCTTTATTTTTCAAAAAAGAAAAGCAAATTGTCTGGTTATGGATATGTTTCCATAAACACAGGCCACATGCAGGAGCACCTAAAGTTTTTGACAAGATCAGATCATTTTTATTGCCGTGACAAACAGGGCTCAATCCAAAGATTATGGTGCAACACCACGTAGGAGGTAGTAGTGTACCTGTCATCCAACCACTATGTGTGCAGCACACTTAACTAGGAGAAAGAATTAGTCTGCACTTTCTTTTGATGATGACTGGGTTGTGGTTCTCAAAACAGAAGCCAAGTTTCCTCTCTTTTACCCAACTGACAAGACTGGGCCTTTGTTTACCGTAGTTACGAAGGATGTAATCAGCCTACAGTTGGTCTCTTGAACGTGGGCTGGCCCCGACTGTAGTGGTTGTGGTCATTTAATCTAGCCCACCTCTCCCTTCCAAAAAGACTTTATGCAATATATGAGGTTGAGGTACCACAGACATTACAGTACTTACATTATACAGATATATTTTTAGATTTATTTTCCATTTAGAAATGTTGGACTCTGCCTTTCTGTCAAAGGTAAACACTACACAAACACACTAAGTGGTTTATTAGGGAAAAAAGCTTAGAAACACTGTAAAAGTAGTCAGTCAGTAGACATGAAGGAAGCCCGCAAATCTACAAAAAACGCTCGTTGCTTTCAAACAAAATACGGATTATGTTCCATAATTCTGAAGCAGCATATTTAAATATTAAAATGTTTCGGTCTTTGTTACTGTCTTTGTGTTTAGTATAAAAACTATTATGCGCGCAACCAGATTTTGGGTAATATATACTGTAAAGTGGATTTTTATAAAGTGGATTTTTATTTATTGTTTTAGTTAAATATGTTGTTAACCACTATGTTTAGCTTTATTCGGCCGCCTTACAAACCATCTTCAGTCTTTCTTGTTTTATGGACAAAACGTCGTTTTCATAGTAAACAATTGTTCGATAACTTTCAACGAATAGCTTTAAAAAGCATTGGCAGCAGACCTGTTTATGTACCAATTGCTTTGACACCTGGCCCACTGTTGCTCACGTGGAAGCTATTTACCTATGAAGCAGAAAGCTGTCCGTAGGGGAAATGTTTTTAAAAAATGCGTGAATATGCGGCACAATGCTTAATGGTAAAACCCATGATGAGTAATGTTTCAAAATGTCTACGTACATTTACAAAAGTATGAAAAAATAATTCAAGACAATATTTCGTTTATTTACTGAAAAAACAACAACCACAAAGGGTTTCAGGTCGGCAGTAGCAATATACTGTACTGTATAGTGTAGTCCTGTATGTGCAACTACAAATAATAATTCAGGAAAATAACAAACACAGGAGTACTTAATTTACTTGTAGTGGCGCGCTTTAAAGTTTAATATATACGAACTACGCTAAATATAGTAGTTAAACAGCACATAGTTGGGGTTTTTAATGCCAAACCAGTTTATTGCCAGTTCATGATCTGACCTTTAAAACCGGGGGAAAATCTGAACACTGGGGCAAGGCAAAAGATTCACTGGAAACATAGTAAATATCTATTCCCTTTGGGAGAACAAATAGGCTACAATAACTGTTTGGGAACAAGTAAAATGTATTACTAAAATAATCATATCATCTTCAATTAGCATAAATTATCAAAACATTGACATCAGTACTTGCAGAGTGACGTAGAAGAGCTCAACTGCCTTCAACGTCAGTTGAGTGGTTTTAGTTCATATTAATTTTCAGAAGCAGATGGGTTTTGAAAAGATTTTTGGGCTTAAATGGCCATAATAATGTCACTCTCCCCCTCTTAAGTATTGGATTTACAGTTTCAGAAAATGTTATATTGTTAAAGATGTGTAACAAATATACTGTATTAACAAAGTTTGCCAGCTGCCTTTGACAGCTTTATAAAGAATGACTTGCTCAGCCGTCTTTCATTTCAGGTGAGTTCATATACTGTGTATAGTATAGTCATAGTTACAAAGGTTTTAAATTGGACAAGGCGAATGAACCTAACACGTCCGTGCTCTATGTTATGTTTCTGTTACAAAATGGAAGCTTTAATAGGCTGCAATTGGCACTTTTTGAGAAGCCTTTGGCGTTTCAAATACTGTATAGGCTGCTTTTGCTAATAATATAAATCATTATGAATAACGCTCTTGTGAATTAAGGGGAATAATTTGAATGACCCCAATATATATTGTACCTATATTCACAAGAAACTGCTTCTGTAAATATTTTTTGTTTTTGTTTTGGACCACACTACTGTAATTTATATTATTGTTTAAAAATCACTTCAAATAAAGTTTCTTTTTCAAGGGTTTCATACGTTGAGTAAATATAAACTGCTAAAGAATGATATCCTACTTTTTACACTTGTTTTTAATGTAATTATTTAAAAACATAAAGCGCTTAAGACATGTTATTATGGCTTATTTATAGTCTACTTCATTATGAACTCAGTTATATGGCAGGTACCAGGCAATAGTAGTAAAATTTGTAAAAATATTTATGTTGCTAGGTGTTCGTAACTTATCTCAAATTAGTAGAAATTAATCTTTGCCTGATATATACTTCATACAAATGAACGAAATTGCCGCAAACAATGTATTTACTCACACAATCCTAGTATAAATAACGAATAAATGTTGAAATAGTTTTGTCTGTTCATATGCTAGATCACTTAAGAGAATTTATTCATATACATTAGCGAAGCTTAAAAGCGTTAATTCATTTCATGCTTTATGACAGTGTCCTCAGGAATTCAGTGTTTAACTTCGTGTTCGTGCTACTTCATTCTACAGTCGGCGGCGGAGACGGTAGTTTTGGTTGCATCTTAGTGCCACCTTTAGAACAATGCTCTCTGCAGGTTATCCAATTGGCTTAGAGAATTACCGTATCTGCTGAATATTAATAGTAAGTCAAGCCAATCAGAGTCTGGGTGTGAGCACCGGAGGAGAGCTATCTCCGAGTCGCAGAAAAAAATGATCAAACTCTGTTTCCATTCTGCAGAGCATAAATGAAAACTAATCTTATTGCGGATCCGCATTGCTGTAGTTAAAAACGTTGTCAAGACTCGTTCACTGTTGGTTATTTAATGGGTCCCAGGGGATTATTTCTCAAGATAAAAACTGTTTACGGACTGAAACAGCCTGGATCAATGTAGCCTACACCTTCTGACAGCATTTGACACTAAAGCAAGCAGATGGACTTCTTAACTTGTAGTACTGTCATGCTTCAGTTTTAAATGAGTTGGTCATGGAGAAAAGCGCTAAGTTTGGAATACATCGACTTTGCATTTTCTTGATTCTATTTTTTTCATTTTTCCCTTTCCATTCCCAGGGAAGCTGGATGTAAGTAGAGTTTTATATAATACATTGTTTCTCTCCACTTTTGTGTAATTACCCTTGCTACTGCACTTTGTATTCGCTTTGAATACATATATAATTAATATAAGGTGTTTACTTTTCTGACGTATTAATTACATTATATGTGGTTCTTTATACCGTAGGTGGCTGGGAATTACATCTTTAAGTATACCCGAGAAGATGGGATGCGGAAATCTACCTCTTACAAACAAACAGAAAGATCTATGTAAAAGAAAGCCGTACCTTCTACCTAGCATCAAAGAGGGAGCGCGGATGGGCATATCTGAGTGTCAAACTCAGTTCAAATATGAAAGATGGAATTGCTCCACTACCTCAGAATTTTCCGTGTTCGGATATGAGCTAACCAGCGGTGAGTATTATAGAAGTAGATTAAAATTAGGATAAAGGGTAATAGAAACACGACTTCGTTTATACGAAACGTAAACTTTGATCGATTTAGAGAAATTCAAAGTAGAATAACTTTAAAACATTTAAGTGTTCTAAATGCTTGTTCTAAATGTTTGTAATGTGTATTGTTTTGTTTTGTGTTTATATATTTTTTTCTTGCATATGAGCGAAGATATATGAGTACTGTATATTTAAGTGTGTGGAATTGAGTTAAGAAGTATTGTACTAGATTTCAGAATTTTCCGCATCAGACATTACAGCAGAAAATAATAATTTATTATACAATTTCAAATAAAAAAACGTTAAAATCTAACATACTGAATAATATATGTATCTAATACGTCTTCGAAATTTACTTTAAATATTTTCTCGTGATGCCTGAGATGGATACGATCGTTCATGATTTGATATTTGGGCCTTGAAAAGTTATTTGATTTAGAACACAGCTGTGGGGCCACACAGTTGTGTTGTTTCTGAAACTGCGGACATCTGCTTTGATTTAACTGTCTCAACAAACTAGTTAGCTATGGTCAAGTGTCTTTTTCCTTGTAAAGTTCGGTCAATAACTGTGGGAGTTTTCTTAAGAAGCTCTTCAATTACTTAAAAACTAGAGTAACATGCCCAGCTCCTGGATTGCATCAAGCTTTGTGTCTCAAATATTGCTATCATGTCAGTTTTTAATATATACTATAGTTAAAAATAAATCAGTCATGGAGATTTTTAAAGCATATTTGTTTTATTATGTGTAATAAGGGAGACAGCAGACCAAAGGTCCTTCAATAGAAGGATCTTAAAATCTGATGGCAAGGAGAGAGGCAAAAGCCCAGTTTCCACTGCAGTTTAAATTCATTCTTATTTTTAAAATCTGATCTTATCTTTAAGATTTGTTCATGGAATTAGGCACCTCGTAAACCACTGTTATGTTTAGTCAAAAGGAGAAAGCATGACCATACAGAAACAACATTGTTTACTATTACAGTTAGTTCTCTTGTTAGGAGCATTTGCTTAACATTTTTCCTTCTTTGGTTTTTTAATACTTTGGGGGCAAAATATTACTATGTAAATCAATATATATTATGTAAATATTCAGTTTAACAGGATTGGTAAGTGAAAAGGTTTGTGAAAAGTTGTTCCTTTTTTTGAAGTTGAAATTCATTTCCTGGCATTTTGAAGTTGTGGGGACAAAGTAACTTTTCCTTTAAAGTTTTTTTTTTACTAATGTAAAATTCTGATGTGCGATTAAGGGAGGCGTTTTGCGCCAAAGTGTTGTTGGAATTGATTTAATGGTCTTGGTGATGCATGGCCATGACTCTAGCCAAGACAAGCAAAATGAAAACGGATGGATGCATTTGTTGAACATCACAAACAGGGAATCCTGGATCCATCTCGGATTTCACCTTCTCTGCACAAGGCCTGTGTATTTTCTTCAAAGTGTTGCCTTTTAATACACGACATAGGGAGTTAATTAAATCAAACCAGCCATGTCACCATGAAACTCACAACCGCTAGGCCACTGATGCTCAGCAGGTGGAAGCCTGGCCAGTACCTGGATGGGAGACCTCCTGGAAAAACTAAGGCTGCTGCTGGAAGAGGTATTAGTGGGGCCAGTATGGGTAGCTCACCCTGCGGTCTGTGTGGGTCCTAATGCCCCAGTATAGCGACGGGGACACTATACTGTATAAAAGCGTCATCCTTCAGATGAGATGTAAAACTGAGGTCCTGACTTTCTGTGGTCATTAAAAATCACTGGGTGTTTTTCTAAAAGAGTAGGGGTGTTATCCTGGTGTCCTGGCCAAATTTCCCATTGACCTTTACCAATCTTGGCCTCTTAATAACCCCAATCCATGAACTGGCTTCATCACTCTGTTCTCCTCCCCAATGATAGCTGGTGTGGGGTGAGCGTACTGGCGCACTATGGCTACCATCCAGGTCATCCAGGTGGTGCTACACCACGCTATGAGTGGAGTGTCCAGAACAGTGCTATATAAGTGTAACCCCGCTTTTTGATTGATCGCCAGGGACGAAGGAGACCGCCTTCATCTATGCAGTTATGGCAGCTGGCCTGGTGCACACCGTGACGCGCTCCTGCAGTGCGGGGAACATGACCGAGTGCTCCTGCGACACCACCCTGCAAGGAGGGGGCTCCCCCAGGGAGGGCTGGCACTGGGGGGGGTGTTCGGATGACATCCAGTACGGCATGTGGTTCAGCCGAAGGTTCCTCGACAGCGCCACGGGGAACGCCTCTGCCCTGCTCGCCATGAACCAGCACAACAGTGAGGCTGGCCGACAGGTAAGGACGACCATGCTCAACCAGCAGTACAGAATTAGAACAATTGTCGTCGTCAAGTTATTATTTTTTTGTAAATATATGAAATATATCGTTCTCAACACAACGGCATCCTTGTGTGGAAACTATAAGTTTAAGTGTTACCTCAGAGTTACGATTCCTGAAGAAATTGAACTTTTGGTTGAGAAAAAGGTTTCTCAAGACTTTTAAAACACACAACGTGAAAGTTTTCTGTTTTGCGGGGCAGTGTAGTTTTATGAGAATCGATAATGAATGTCATTAGTGTGAGTAGTAAGTGTGGTTTTTAGTTCTGTAGCTAATGCTCATCGCACAGATGGAAATGAGGAAAATCCTTAGATAAAAGTGTGATCATGAAGAGAGTAGATATTGGAAGATTGGTTGATTCAGATGGTAGCAGCTACTTAATGTTTGATGTCTTAAATTATCGCTTTAAATATTATCTTATGAAAGTTGTCATGATTTCCAATTCAGTATCTTTTAAGGTATACAACTGCAGAAGTAATCTTTCTGGTACAGTTCCTGCTACCACTCTCATTTGCATACTGAGGTGGTCAGACTCATGTGGTAAGGACACGTGTGCACAGTTACATTATGTAATGTGTGCTTAAAATGTGAGGACAGCAGATTAATGTGGGCAGTGTAATCACATTAGATATCTGTGTGAACCGAGTCTGTAAATCTGTCTCCTTTCTAATGGTAGTGCAATGTGGCTGAAATCTTCACATTTACAGTATATATTACAGCTAGAATATGGGAAAGGGAACATAAAAACTTATTTATTACAAGACTAAGGACAGCTTCTGCTCTAGAAACATTGCCCAGTGATTACCTTGCACCATATTGATGACCAACTGTAATGTAAGTGACTGCAGACATTGACTGTTTCTAACTAAACTTAAAGTCCTAGCTGTATTAAGTAGACCTTAGTCCTATGCAGTTAAAGTCTACAAACAGTAAAATGCTTAGTAAGAATTGCTGGTTCGTCTCAGGAAAAATAGAGTGAATTTTAATGGCACACGCGCCCATGAATAAAATAAAACACATTATCTCTTCAGAACATATCCTGTTAGTTAGCAAACATCCCATTTCTTACATTTATCAGAATGCGGCACTGACTAAATGCATTGCAAATTATTCAGCAAGTATTTCATAGAAAGAACATGGTATGCATTCCACATTTTCACCTGCAATTATAAGGAGTAAAATCTGCCTGTATAGGGCAAGCAGCACCAAAAAAACCTCAACACATCCCTCTGAAACCAGATTCCTGAGAGACACTTCCGATTGAAGCAGAACACAATTAATAAAGCCAGCTGGTTCTAATGCTCTCTTACAGTTGTGTTCTTTTTTACCATGTGGTATTCAAGCTGAAATGCCAAAACAAATAAAAATGGCTGAAAAGATTTTACACTTTTGGACTGTAGCATGGAAATTTTTATTATAAAAATGAAAACAAAGCAAAACAAAAAATTGTGATGATTTATCTTAAGAAAAAACTTGCATGTTAGGACTAGCAGTATTCGTCCGAGAACTGACAGTGTTGAACTACAGATGGAATACTGCTTGATTACTCCAAAATGGTCAGCGTTGTACTCAGCCCTTTGGCATTTACTGCATTTGAATTTCCCCTCTCCTCCTACCCTTCAAAAGAAAGCTCAGCAGAGGCTAGACCTGGAGCAAAAATTGTCAATTAAATTAAAACTTTGCAAACAATACTGATGAGGTTTTTTTATTTCCTGTGTAATATCAGATATATTTTTCATGGGGCTGCTGCTTATTTTGGGAGGAAACCTTCTTCATGTATTGAACAACTTCTCCCATGAGAAAGGATTTGAGCTGAAATGTTGAATAGCCCAATTAAAAACTGTAAAATTAAATGAGTTGTTTTGCATAAGAATGAAAGGTGCCAAGCACAACAATTGAATATGTTAATTGAGAAGTATCCAGACATAATATGTCAAGATACTAACAACTAAACGTAATGTATGATTCTTGTAATGTAATCAATTTCCCACTTATTTAACGGCATTATTCTGACAATTCACTGAGTGTTACTATACTATCAGTTTACTAACACTACAGTAGTCTAAGAAAATAACTGTTGATCTCCATCCTTATATTTTTTTGGAGTGCTGGAATGCCTCTTCACGATAAAGATGTTTAGAAAGAGACAGGATTTCTATGATAGCAATGAGATGATTTTATTGTACATTCCTCTGCCTCTGTAATAAAGATGCATTCATGAGCAATTAGTTTTCTAATTAAGCCCCTCGTGGACATTCGTGTGAGGAAAGTCTGGGATGGATCATGCAAGTGCAGTCTGCTCTTAGGGATCATGTGCTGCTGCTCCCAAAATAATGGAGATTTTGCTTCAGAGAAAAAAAGGAAAATTTAACATAAAGGGAAAAACTAAAGATACCTTTCCATTCATTTGCTATGTACAGAAAAACAAGTTGGATTGAAAGAGAAGGGAAAGCAACTGAATGTAAAAAAAACCTATAACTCACAGATTCTTTTTTCTGCATCATTCCTAGAGGAGAAACTATGTAAAAGTCATTTTCTTTCCTAACTTGATAAAATGGAGATTTAAGAATGATTGGTATTTGGCAAAGTGTTCCACACACAAATGCCAGGAACATTTCATGGATCAACACACAAAAAAAACAGGTTTTCTTTTTTAAAAAAAAAAACATAGGCAAACATGAAACCTGTATATATTAACGCTTCAATTCTAAGATTCTCTCTGTATACTAACTAACTGACTGACCCTTTTAGTCAGCATCCTGAGAAAAGCCTCACAATCCCAGCCTAATAAACTCTAAGCAAAAGTACACACTGCGTCTTTGACACATAGTGGCACTAATTTGACAGAAACTCCGAAAGGTACTGCTGCAGCAAATGTCACACCAGAGTAAGAGGAGAGTGAACTCTCGGGTTGTTTACAATATAGTTAAATTCTAACAAAATCATTGTATGGGGAGCAGGGCTGTAAAAACACAAATACTCTACTTTTCCACTCTTTCATATCAAACATCTACAGAGAACAAATTGTAGAGTAATGCCTAATCCACTGGAGGCTTGCAAGTAACCACTTATTTAGCATCCTGAGAAAATAGTGTTTTGTTTTAGTGTTTAGTGTTTTTTTTGGTCTCCGTACACTCTTGGATACTTCTCTTTCAGTATAAAAAATTAAATGAAAGTATTTTTTTTTCTAGGTAATAGAATTGAGAATAAGCAGGGTTTGGTAATACAAATCTTTGGTCACAATGAAGTTTCTAGGATAATAATGGTACATACACTGATAGAATTTAGTGTATTATAGTTCAATCAAGAGAACTAAGATTTGTAATTGATTTTTAAGTGATTTATTTGCAATGCTTTATGCACCGTCATGCCATTTTAATTCTCTAAATTAATTTAATTCTCTAAACACCGTTTGCGTGCTAGTTTAATTAAACCCAGCTTAAGAGATGTTTTCAAATGAAGTCAAAATAAAACATTTTGAATTAATACCACACATTCGCTCAATGTGCCACATCCACAGTACATCCACAGATCATGTTAAGAATCTATGTGATGCCAAGTGAAGCCAAGGCGTAGGCAGGAAACTTAATATTTCTTTTGAAATTCAAGGCATTTACCGATTCACAGCCCATCTAATGAATATCAGGGAAGAGATCTTTAAAGCTGGCTTTCAGTCGTATGATGCGTGCCTCCATGCTCATGCTTCACTTGCTTTCTTGGATCCGTCCAACGAGGTGGTGAGGAATCATGTTCCCCTTCCACCCAGCCAAGGATTGCCACAGATTGCATGCTAAGCAACTGAGAATTGCTTAGTGGGCAGGAGTACCTCGAAAGATAGGACCTAAAGGCCCCGAATATGACATCCAAGATGCATGGCTTAATAAACACCTGTTCTCCTGAGGGCTCCTGACTGAAATGAACCTCTCGGCATAAAGCAGGGTTTGACGCTGTCTCTCACCCCTCAGGCCGTGGCGAAGATGATGTCCACAGACTGTCGCTGTCACGGGGTGTCGGGCTCTTGTGCCGTCAAGACCTGCTGGAAGACCATGTCCACTTTCGAGAAGGTCGGCAGCTTCCTGAAGGACAGATACGAGAACAGCATTCAGGTGCTGGACAGGTCAAGAAAGAAGGTGCGCCGGAAAGAGAAAGACCAGAGGAGGGTACCGGTCAGCAAGGAAGAGCTGATCTACGTGAACAAGTCCCCCAACTACTGTTTGGAGGACAGGAAAGCAGGGATAGCCGGCACACGTGGCCGGAAGTGTAACCGCACCTCAGCAGGGCCTGATGGGTGCAATTTGCTTTGCTGCGGCCGAGGCTATAACACACACGTCGTGCGGCACGTGGAGCGCTGCGAGTGCAAGTTTGTGTGGTGCTGCTATGTGCGCTGCAGGCGCTGTGAAAGCATGACTGACATGCACACCTGCAAATAGCAAACCGGCCTGCAGGAGTGGTCGGAGAACAGATGAGACAGGCAGCCATTTCAGAGAAAAAAGGGTAAATCGAGAGGCAGAGCTTTCTGTCGAAAAGCGAGAACTCAGGAAGAAAATGACGAAAGACGTGACCAAAAATACAAGGAGACGACCCCCCCCCCCCCACAGCTGAAAATCTTTTGAAGGTGTCAAGCAGAAAAAAAAAGACCGCGTGACCTCCTAAGAGACGGTATTTACATTCAGTGATACATGAACTCATGAGGGGGGGGGAGACTGATTTAAAAAACATCTGAGTGAAATAAAGACATACCTTCTGCAAAACAGGTCCTCACCAGGCCTGAATCTGTAGGCATCAGCATCAGGCTGCCAGTAAAAGAAGCCAAACACACCTACATTACAGAAACAGTAATGGTAAGTATGGCGCGTTCAAGATGCAAAAAAGGGAATATAAAGGGAATAACTGTCAGAAAATGCAAAAAGGTTTACATTAAGTAAAAAATCTGAATTTAATAAAAAAGCCAGAGCATGTGAAGTTTGTGTAAAGGTCCGCAATTTTTTTGTGATGAGAACTGATCTACTGCAGCCATAAATGTCTGATGTAACTAAGCAACAAAGCTGCTAGAGTTGCTATTATGAGCAGTAGGATTATCTGAATTAAACTGGATATGGTAGTAACAAATCATCCTTAAAATATATACAATATTATGTGATCACAAAAACTTTGTCTTTAGGTATTTTTCTCATTTTAACATTTTTAAATTTACTAAAAGCTCATAGGTTTGCATAACCCCAACCAAAATGTACATTAAAAAAAAATGTATTTTGCTCTTGAAACAAAACAATAGTGATTTTGAAATTTTAAAACTGTACAGTCAGAAAACAACAATACAAGAACATATATATATAAAGTGAAAGTAGTATTTTTTTAACTTCATTACATTGTTTATATTTTGTAAATATTTAAGTTATACAAAATTCATAAGAAAAGAAAAAAGATACTTATTTTTTGAATGCTTTTTGGAACTGAAGCCCTCATTTTGTTTGTCATAAACCTTTGTTTTTAGTTAAATTGTGCTTCATTTTCTCTGTTTCTGCTTACGGCAACCACATTTCTTTGTTATTCTTTTTTTTTAACATATTTATGTATTTCTTCTGTTTTAATGTCCTCATATTACCAAAAATGAAGGGGAGTTCTTTCTTAAAAGTATGTAAGTTGTTTCAGACTGCTTAGGGCAAATTTCCATATACTGTATACTGTATATATGTTTGTATTTATATATATCACTACGCTTTGGAAGCATATGTGGTTGATTGTCTTTTGAGGCATTCTGATTAATTAAAACATAGGCACTTTGTCTGTCCCCTGGCACAAATTTGCCTCTTTTCTGTGAGTGTGGAGCAATGATTTGTGAAAAGTGACATACCTGTGCAAAATACCACAAGTCCTTTTTTAAAAGAGGCTTTAAGGTTAACTTTGACCCTATATTTCAATGGAACACTGGATCTTTAATGTGCACAATGATTTATTAGGTTTTAGAAAAGATAAACAGAGAATGCTTCATCATTAAAGTTTTGTTTTACATGGCTGAGAGAAAATTAGGCATGGAAAAAAGGTTTTAAACTCCATTTTAAAATGTCTTCCAAGTTCCTAAATCATGCGGTATTATAGCACACATACTGTTTTCAGACTTGCACATAAAAGCATAAAAGGATCCTATTTTGTTCGCTGAAAAAAGGCTTTATTAGATGATAGCTGCAATAAGAATGTAATGTGTTGAATGACATTATTGGCTTATTTAATTTACATTCAGGAGAAATTACAGACTTGGAAGGTTTATTAGTATTTTAACCACAGTTAGTGCTTCTGCGTTTTGTAGGCTTGAAATGTCAAATGTTTTTTTTATATAAACCACAATAGTACCTGTCCTAAAATTACACTAATATGCTTTACTAGTAGTGTCACTCTACTAGTTTTAGAATAATTTTGATTGATTAGTAACTAGTTTTACTCCTGTTTTTCTCAACACATTGGCTACTTTCCTGGAGTTTTACTGAAATCCAGCTAGGAATGAACTGTAGATTAATGTGAAAATACAGTAATGATTTCAAAAGACAGCCTCATACAGTTTATGCTTTTTGGTATTTACATGTAAACGTTCTATGAGAATAGCCCATCTGATTTGTGTAACGCTAAGTTGTATGGTGTTAGTAACAGAATTGTCTGGGCATTCAATACTGTGCAACCACAGTAATACTGATGCTGTGGCCTGCTATCCTGCTGTGTAATAGAATATTTTTTTTGTGAAATAAGTGTAAAAGTAGATTTTGTACAGAAAATTCATTTTATCTGTAATGGTAATTAAGCATTAAGACAAAACAAGCTTCAGGAATTTAAACCTTGGGACATTTGTATTACCAGAAAATGCTTGGAAATTGACTTGAATGCGCTGGCAAGACTTAGAGCTCAAGAGAGAAAGATCATTTACAAGAAGTGGTTTCATCTAAGCTCCTTCCTTGAGGAGTTTTCAGATCACCTCTAAAATCCAGGAAACCCTGAAGATTGAGTTGGTAAATTTACAATGTTCACTGACTAGTTTCATTTGCAATTTATAAATAACCCATTGAACATATTGGTTATTGCAGTCTGTTAGTTCTGCTTTTTACCCGACTTACTTGTATGAGAAGAATTCAGTTCTGCTATATTATTTATCCCCAATTAATCACTAATTGTCTGGCTTCACAGAAGTCTTTTACTTTTTACCAAAAGTAGGAAGAGAGAGCATTTGCAAAGTTAAGGTTTAGGCATGGTGTTCTTTCTGGAATGTGGTTCATTGTCCTGGCAACTCATGCAAACAACAGATCCAAGTTATAAACTTTAAAACTCCTGAGAAGTTTACCAATGGTTTTAACTACATGGGCATACAGTAGGAGGGGGCAATTTCTGGCAAACTTTTAGCGGCGGAGTGTTTCATAGTAGAGTAAAAGACCATTTCAAATCACTCTGAAAGGATGGTTGTCCTAAGAAATTGAGAGTCAGTTTTAACAAATACCTACATTAAAAGCAGTGCTGGGAAGAGTTACTTTTAAAAAGTTACTTATGTAAGAAATTATTTTGTTAAATTAATACAGGTTGTAAAATTAAGTTGTGGCAAATTGTTTTGAAGAAATGATTACCTTATGCAGTAACTATGCACAAACCTATATTAATTCTTGTGTTGACATTTTTAAAATTATAATTGTGAATATAACATTTAAAATAATATTTTCCACCACTTCTTGTATAGAGGATTCCGTTTATTATAATTAACAAGGAAATTACACCTGTAACTGATTATTTTTCAAAAGGAACTTTTCCCAACACTGAACATAAAGTAAAAAAAGTATAAAATACTGACCACCAGAACATTACTCTATGAAGATTTTCTTAAATTTGTAGAAATGGTTATTGGTTAATAACCCATGATCTACCGTGACGTACTCAGATGATTTTGAGTGTTGCATAAAGCACTAAATTATAACATTAATAAGAGAGTATATCAGGCACAGGTGAGGAGAGGATTTCATTTGTTAATTTTGTTAGACTATGAAACCATGCTTACAATACCTGACTTCAGACCACCCTGGGGAAATACGCTGTTCATGCCTTCTTTGGTATTCTCTGGAAAACAGCCTTTTTCCTAACAAATCATTACAGTCAAGTCAAACCCTCACTGAACTGGATAGAGTTCTTGTTATCCTCTACAGTCAGCACAGTGTCTCTCTCTCTCTCTGCTTGAGGTGGTAACAGCCAGCAATGTCTAAACTGGCAACACATCAGCATAGACATAGAGCCAAACACAGCCCATTAATTACAGGCTATGATCTTAAAGACCACAAGGCGACACAGTGAGTGATGGGAAGATCCATGCATGATGGTCTGACCAGGTACTGTGTCTCCATAGAGCTCCACTTGCAGTTGTAGCAGTAATATTAGTAGCAGGAACAGGAATAGGAGTAGTAGCAGGAATAATAATAATAATAATACACTTATATAGCACTTTTCTGGACATTCCACCCAAAGCGCTTTAAAGGTAATGGGGACTCCCCTCCACCACCAATGGGTAGCCCCCACTTGGATGATGTAATTATATATCATACTTGTAGCAATTAATGGCATCACTGCCCCACTGTGATAAAGTCCACATTTGCTGCCTTTACTACATGATCATCCTGTTGTAACAACATTCCAGTAGGACACCACAGCTTTCTTGCAAGATCAGAATATAAACATTATATCACGGAGGCCCTACTTGCCAGGTAAGCCCTTCGTGGCATGAACATTTGTGTCAGGTAAAGGTCAGAGACTAGTGAATTGGCATGTGCTCATCTAGGCTTCATAAGAGGACTGGGACAGAATCCACAACACATTTGCAAGTCGGTGTAAAGCAAACATCAGATGTACAGATTGCACGGCTTTTAACATTAGCTACAAACTACTTTCACAGTCGAGGCCTGTTGATGACATGTTAATCAGTATGAATACTTGCATCATTTCTGTTCAATCGTTATTGTACCATTTGAACAAAGATTGTAATTTTCCTGATAACTTTGTGTATTTTTGTCACTTAAGTGATGTTTCTTGTGATGCTATTTATGTATAGCCTAAATCATGAAAAGGAACATCTTTCATTTCACACAACTGGGTTTAGCAACTGGCAGTCACTTAAAAATGATATGCTTCAAAATATTTGCATGGTTCTACAAACATATAGCCTGAACATGTACTGTGGAATCCACTTTTGCATGGAATTTAAAAATTATAAACACATCAATATTAAGAGAGAAGGTAATACTCATTAATAAACAAAAACACAATTCACTTCACCTTTTTAATTAAGCAACTTTTATTCATTCTTTTCACAAACAAGTAAGCCTGCTTTTTAATTAATTATAATTAACATCCAGTCATTCACCATTGGTGCAAACAAGCTTAAGCGCATCATAATCAGTCTACTGAATAAGTATAACATACATTTTTTGTGGAGTTCCAAACAGAAAATAGGATAACTGAGCTCTCATCCTAAAAATGACCCATTGCAAAACAAGAAAATAATGTTCAAGTCTTGCAAGATACACATTTTAGAAATCCTTATAGCATTCTACAAACTTTAGTTAACTGTCACCTGTAGTGATGAGGTACAGAAAGAACACCACCTTACCAACATGCAGTATTTGAGAACAGAGAACCACTGCACAGAAATGTTTGTTTAGGTAATGTCCACATGAACAATGTTATCCACAATAATGTACAGCAGCACACTGAAAGACAGAGGATGAAGGTCTCCAAACACCAGAATTAAATGTCGGTCTTCCAAAGTAAAGGGCACAGGTGAATCGCACCCAAGCACATAGAATCTTATTTTTGTGGACCTGCATTCAAATCTTTGGTCTGGAGTCTTAAGGAGCTCAATACAAATAAAAGAAAAGCCCACACCAAAAGATATTCTGAAGCTTTTTTTAAAATATTGTAAAGGTCAAAACACTAATAAGAAAACTTCAGCAGAACTGACTTTCAGTGTCCTATTATTAAAAGGCACTAATTTTGTTTTTATACAGCAACTTATCATTTCGCTCTGGAATCAACAGCAAATTAATTTCATGCTTTATTATATCCCAGAGGTAACAAGGTAACACAGGGTAGATGTATCCAATCACGTAGAGAAATGAAAGGGACAAACCTCATGGAAAAACCTACCCTGAGCGAGATTGTAAGTATACAGCAAAACAGCAAATTCTTTCATATGTACAAAGTAATTTATTTTAAAAGCAAGAGAGAGCGATGCTACGTTTTCAAAAACTACCAATAAACATCTTTGTGCAAAAGTCTTCCACTTTCAAATTTGTCTGCATATTCTAGAAAGATGAACTGGAAAAATCTGCCTCAAACTCAAAGCTGAAAAGCTCTTCCTGCAGTGGAAATTTCCAGAACCTTGACTGGCTACATCTTAAAATCAGGTGATCTAATAAGTTATTTTGTAGATTTTTGTATGCATGATTTACCCCTGTCAAATACAGATCTGCCCAGGAATCTGTGTTGGATTGGCCCATTTTCATAGCAAAATATACAAGTTACATCATCTCAAAGATACTGCATTTCCAATAGTGCATTAATTACGTTTCAGAAAAATATAAAAATCAGTCTGGAAAACATTTTAAAATATGTCTACAAAAATAACTTCAATAATATAAATCCATTCGAGTTGTGCTAATGGATTCCTTAGTAGCCAGTTCTAAATTGTTTTCTTGGCCAGAGAAAAGATTTTAGGTTAAGCATAGAGCAATTCAACAAAGTACAATAGGAATATTCCTGTTATATAAACCAACCTAACAATTGCCAACAGCACCGTCTAACATACATAAGATGTATTACAGGACAAGATAGATATAAATGAAATATAAGGGAATGTGTATCATTATTTTCCAAATGCAGCACTATGACAGCAGTACAAAAAATAGCTTCATTAATTTACAAAGGCAACATGGTGCATTCAATACAAGAATGAAAGCCATCTCAAAGAACACATTGCTCACACCATCATTCACTTAGGGACCTTTCTATAGCTCTCTGAGGTGAACTAAACTCACATGGAAATAAACCCTGGGGTAAAAAGAACAGAGTTCACTTCTATGATTCAGTTAAACATTTTTGTACACTTTTTTTTTTACATTTATTAAAAGATACCTTGTAAAATTCTTTGGACAACAACCACTGTGCCCTAGCACAACAGATACCAAGCAAATCTGTGAAGTTTTCTGGCCCTTTTCAGGTTTTATGCACCTTCCAGTCAACGGCCCCACCAGAAAGTCCATATAACTGTACGAGGACATCACCATAAAGTGTTTCTTTTTGTTTATTGACAGGTTTCTTATATATTCAATAATGTTTTCAAAAACGTATAACATTGCAACGTTAAAAAAGTTTAAGTGAAAGGCTTTTTAACCCGTTTTAATATATGTTGAAATGACAGTTTGATATTACAATACACTACTTGTGTGCTATGCACATTATGGTTATAATATAATTGGTTAATAATGTGTAAATTTCCATGTGCAAGTACATAAAACCCAGATAATTATGCAATATTCTTGATTACAACAATGATGGCTTCCATCACTCAGGCTTTGAGCTTTCAATGTGGATGGAAGTTTACATGAATACCTTAAGTGTTTCATAGGAAAAGGTTTGAATTCAATTAAAACTCTCTGAATCACTCTGAATCAAATGCTTTTGGAATACTTATATTGCACATTCAAACTAAATGAACTGTATTTAGTTTGGGCGGGGGGGGGTTAGAGCCTAGTGTGAATACACCCTTAACTGGCTATGATCGTTTCTGCCTGTCACCAGAAGTATGGGCCATGGTGTATGTGAGACCAAGAGCATAACTGCTTACATCCTGGACAGGATACCAGTGTATTACAAGGCTATAGAGAAAATGACAATTTAAAATCTCCAATCAAACCTAGTCAGAATTATATTTGGGTGGCGGAAGGAGATCAGAGTACCAGGAGAAAACTCACGCAAATACACGAAGAACGTACAAATTATACTTAGATGCCCCGAGACCCACAGCCATGCCTCCCTAGTCTGATTATAAATACTTAATGTACAGAATATACACACTTTCCTGATTACAACAACAAAAAAAAAGAATATCAACCTTCATTGAACCAGATCTTAAACTGCCTACATATGTCTAGTTTCTTAATTTAAAAATGCAGCACTTCTGTGCCCTGTTCAACAAAGATGGCTTGGTTTGATAGTTCCCCGCCTAGATTTCCAACTCCCCAGTCAGTGACAGAGCAAAATGTTACATGGAGACTGAAGCTATCGTCTTTTTTTATTCTCCGCTGGGGTATTGCATTTAACTCTTTCTACCAAAGGTTCACAGCAGTTTATAAAATATAAATAAATTCATGTTTAAAAGAAATAATCTTGCATCAAAGTGGAGTTCTTTCAAAATGCAAACAAAAACACCAACAGTTAATAACATCTTGAAGGAAGAGACAAGCACTTTATTGCTTCTGTTCTTGGCAACAGGACAAACAAACATGCCTAAGGCCTTTTCAAATCTTGTCACCTGATTTTACTTGTAATTCCTTGATGATAAAATTGTAGGCTGCCTATAATTGCGTTATACATTTAAAGATTGGAGAGGCTGATTGTTTCCCCAGTAGTCTCCAGAGCTCCTCCTTCAAACACTCATAATTCCAGGACAGCAACAATAAAAACTTATCCTCCCCCCATCAAGACCACACCATATTCTCACACAATTAATAAGCAAAAAGGCTTAATATAAAGAAAAAAATAAGAATCATTAGACACATCACCTCTACTCTCTCCCTTAATCAGATTGGAAACAAGAAAATGTTGCTGGTCCCCTACATAAAAATATTAAATCTGAAGCATTCCTTGACAGCATCCCAGCCACTGGACACTACTAGCTCAACGGAAACAACCACGACGGACGCAGAGATTGTTTAAATACTTTCATGGAGAAACTCTTCCAGTACATTCACAGATATTGTGAATAGAATATATAAAAATAGCAATACTAAAACCCTACTTAAACATTTGATTCCTCTGGTAACGATATTGGGTACTGATCATATTTACATATAACACAGGAGCTTTCACAGTGTTCTTCATGCATTTTGGTTAACGGTCATGGGAAAAAAGATCCATAAGGACAGTATTTTCTGTCCTATTCTTCATGAGTATACAAATGTACAATAGAGATAGCGTCCACAATTAAGTCCCAAATCTCAGTCCTGTTTATGGGGGATACAGCCTTCCATTTCCAAGACTTCTGGCCAGCCTTCATATTTATTGGATTCCGCATTGTTCTTAATAAGCTGAAAACAAAAGGCATGTACACATTTCGTTACAAAACAAAAAAAGCACAACGATAACAAATAATCATGACAAAGTAACACTGCGGCTACTAGAATCATGCTGGATGGGACAGACTGTAATCACAAGCCATACTAAACTACAATTCTCTTCTCAAAATGTAAACACTCAGCCATCTTCTGAGAATTTTGGTGGAGATCGATTTTGAAACCCGTCAGTGGTCAATTTTTTAATGCATGGGGAAAGCAGAAGAGAATGACAGCCTGGAGAAGAAACAGTCTGCCGCTTCCCAGCATCAAGGTGTTAACCCCCCAGGCACTAACAAGGTCACTCACTTAGGAAATTGTAACAGATAACGTGAGAGACAAAACTTAACTCAAGAAGTTAACACCTGCAATATACACCTACCTAAAAGCATGGTCAGGCAACAAGGTCTTGGTCTTGTTTAAATTTTCCACTATCCACTCTTCACTGCCCATTAAGCTGTCAGTTGCAACTATGCTACACAGCTTTCCGTTTTTTCACTGGATTACATTTTCCTTATCTTTATTTTCTTTATTAACGCAACACCTTTGCAATTGAAGGAAGCCGCCCTCTATTTGACAGGCCCCAATGCTCACTTACCTGCTCAAAGGGGCTCTTTGTTTTAATTCCTTTTCCTCCAACAAAGACCCAGTTGTCTCGAAATCCAAGAGTGCTAATACTTGTACTTCCCAAATCGCTTATTAGTTTTCTTGCTTCATCATTGAGTCTGGAAGGAAAACAACAGTAAAACCTTCCACGTCGCAGGCCTGAATTCATTATATCGCAAAGGTCAAATTTTCTGCAATTAACTCGCTGGCAGGGAACTTTGAAAGCAAATCTAGAATCTGTAGTAATTTTCAAAGAAGGGAGCTGAATTGCATTCTTATTGTAAGTTGCTGGGCTTAAAAAGAAAAAGGTTTCCATATGGGTCTGCACCATCAGAAGACAGCAGTTTTAGTTAATAATCATTTAATGAAAAATTACTGGTGTTCAGACATAAGAGGGACAAACTTTTTAAATCGACAAGCATTATGAAGGATATCACAGGAAACCTACTTTGTTGCACCATCGTCAAAAGTTGCCATCATCACAACTGTCCCGTCCTGGATAGTTTTAAGAAATGCAGTTAAAGGACTTACATCTGTAACAAAAAAAATATCATAGATGTAAGCTAAAAATCTAAACCAAAAGGAGCATCTTTTTATATACACATTTTACTTTCTGAAGCAACTCACCTCCAGCCCACATATCAAAAGACTCTGCTGACATTAATTCTCCGGTTTTACCTGTTAAAAAGCATGAAACACTATATGAACTGGTTCTCTTTAAAAACAAATTCCTGAAATCCAGTACATGGTTCTCTTTAAAAAAACAAATTCCTGAAATCCAGTACACAAAATGAAGAGGGACCATGTAGCACTGACCCTCACCAGTTATTGCGTGTATCATAGCTTCATCATTTACTCCAACACCAACTTCGTAAGTACATACAGTATATATGGGTTACATTTATACAAGAACAGAAGTCTTCCGAAATACAGACATTTACTGAAAGACAACACTGTGTGGCTAACTTTCAAGACTGAAAGTAGGGTTATTATGACATAATTTAGGGCCACTTTTCATTTGCTTGTGAACTACAAGGCCCAGGTCAAATCCCCTAGCGGGCTGCCTTCCATGTATTCTCACATTAGCTGGAAGTTTCCTCATTCCGTGAATTTATTTTTAAATCTACTTTACAGTGCAGTTAAAATCTCCATATCCAGTGAGCTCGTTTTGGACATAGCTTCTTAAGGTGTATCAAATCATGCATCTAGAAGGCCCTGAAGCCTGTTGAAAAGAGAAGGAAACGGTGTGCAGTTTGATATATTTGACTGGGTCCAGATGCAGCAGAGCAGCTCCAAACCATGATGCTCCCTTCACCATGCTTCACAGTTGGGATGAGGTTTTTGCATTGGTATGCAGTGGGTTTCCCCCCCCCCCCACTTATGTCTCATTAGTCAACAGACCATTGTTCCAGTGGTGCTGTGGAACATCCAGGTTGTCTTTAGCAAACTTGAGACGGGCGGCAAGGTTTCTTTGGAGAGCAGTGGTTTTCTCCATGGTATTCTCCCACGCGCACACTCTTGTTCAGTGTTTCTCTTATTGTGGACTCGTGAACACAGACATCAGAAAGAGATGACTGCAGATCCTTAGCTGTTACCCTGGGGTTCTTTGTCACCTCCTTAAGCATTATACAGCCAGCTCTTGCACTGATTTTTAGTTGGATGACCAGTTCTAGCAACAGTACTGAATTATTTCCATTTGTGCATTATCTGCCTGACTGGGGAAGTGATGGAGTCTTCAGCAATGCTTTTGTAACCCTTTCCAGTCGTATTAGCATATCATCCGAGGTCGTCTGAAACCTCTTTTGATTTGGGACGTTTCACTTCAACATATCCGTGTTGTAAAGAGCACTGGGAAAACAAACTTTGGGTTTTTTTTTTTATAGGGAAGAGCACCTCAAACTCAACTGAATGTCATTTCATTGATTGGAACTCCTGACTCCAATTATCCTTTTTAATAAAGGTCATTATCCTAGAGGTTCACATACTTTCCACAGCATAGATAGTGAGTGTTTGAACAGCGAGCTCAATATAAACAATAAAAAGTACAATTGTTTGCGTGTTATTTATTAAATAGATTGTGTTTATCGATTATTATGACAGAGAGGGAGATCTGATCAAACATTAGGAGCCATTACTAAAGGAAGACAGATGATTCCAAATGCTCCACAAAAGTTTTCTCACCACTGTATCTGCCCATCTGAAATTGGGAGTGCATTTGCAGTCATGGCTTTTTAGACAGGATAATTACCATTTACTAAGGCTATATTTATTCCTCTTCCAACATTGTTCTTGACTCCACTCATCAATCTGAAAAGAAAATTACACAACTGTTGGGTTATTCACAAAATAAAACAATAATGCAATGCACCTTGCTAAAATGAGCTTAGCCAGTTTATTCTTTTTAATATTTAAAATGCACAAGAAAGCATATAAGGAAACCTTACATGTTGTCTTCCAAACACATCTTTGGGCCAACGACACTTGCTGCTCCACTTGCCATTTTAAATGCAAAGTGACCTTCAGGACAGGGCTTTGACAGTCCACACTTGTATCTTGGTGGTTTAGTAGCTAGGACAAGAAATAAAATGTTTCACACTTAAAATAATGCCAATGTATCTATTATTAGCCGCATTACAAATGTTTTGTTTCTTAATCCTAACCACTCCTCAAACATATTAGTAAGAAAATAAATATGTTTTGGGGCTTGCTTTTTATTCTTTTATAGAATCTGATCAACTAACATCAAATATGTAAATTACATTTACCATATTCTGAAAGATACATCTGTTTGTATGGCAGAAAGGGATATACCAACTTAAAGTGTGGGTAAACTACCATACTGACTGTTTTAAGTGTGCAAATGCTGAAAGCAACAAGTGGAAAATACTTCCAAGATATTGCCTGTTCAAGACTTACACAAGTTATGCAACCACATTCAAACTGTAGAAAGACAGTGCCCCCTTGTGTTTACATAACCTCATGGGTTTAACACATCACTTTAATTTACAGGACACCTGGTCCTGAAAGTCAGACAAAAAATGAAATATTGGAAAGTCAAAACTCAGTCAACAAATTAAAGACAAATGTTAAAAATTTCTTAATTTACTGAATATCAAAATTACAC